TAAACTCATACAATGTATTATGTCCATGAATCCATCTAAAGATTTATTGTCCTTCTTCTAAACTTCCATTTACGTTACGTCCAAAAAAGGTAAGCATGTTGTCTACAATTTATTCCAAATACGTCCAGAAGAAAAATTAACATCGTCTAATTTTAGCGTAAAACCCTGTATATGTAGTATTATAGAACTCAAATCGAATATAACCAGGTGCTAGCTGGGGATAGTTTGACTCTTACCAAACTTTGGTCCCCTCGTCTCTCTTTGCTTGCTTCCTTTTTTCTTTTTCTTCTCTTCTTTCCCCGGGCTGGTTATCGTCAGCCCAAACCAGGACGTACTTTGGGTAAGATATTAATAATCTCTTTTAAAAGTTTACTCACTCTTCTTGCTTCTCTTTTTCTCTTATAAACTCTTTTCTTTATAATGCAAGTATTTAATATCAATGTAAATAGCTGATTTACCAATCATTTCTTTTGCTTCTGATGGGCTCTCTTTTATCATTATTTGTTGTCTGAAATTATCATTTTTTATCAGTGTGCGAATAAAGTGTAGACAAATGTATGCAACATGAAAATAAAGAAATCATGCAACAAAACCAACTTTATTTCTAATTTCATACTTACACTTTTGTTTACATTATAAGCTTATTTAGTGTCAACCTTTTCTTCTTTAGCCTTTTTATCTGCTTCTTTTACGCTTGCAGGTTCCTTTTTATCTTTGATTTCTTTAACGTCCTTGGTATCTTTTATTTCTTTGACATTTTTGTCATTCTTGGTATCCTTGATTTCTTTGACTTCCTTCTTTTCTTCTTTGACTACTTTGACTTCTTTGACCTCTTCTTTGATTACTTTGACTTCTTCCTTCTTTTCTTCTTTGACTATTTTGACATCTTCTTTCTTTTCTTCTTTGATTATTTTAGCTTCATCTTTCTTTTCTTCTTTGACTACTTTAACTTCTTTCTTTTCTTCTTCTTTGGCCTTATCCTCTTTTAATTTTTCTTCTTTTTCTTTTGTTTTCTCTTTATCGTCATCTCTTTCCTGTCTAGAATACGCAACCTTGAGGTAGACAGAACGACCCTCCAAAGTCACATCCTTCATATTTTCAATCGCTTTCTTCTGTTCCTCATCATTCTCAAATTCAACAAATCCATATCCTCTTGACCTTCCCTTTCTCATACGAACGACATGAACTGAGGCCACTTTATAATTCTTAAAGAGCTCTTTCAAGTCTTCTTCTTTTGTGGTAAATGGCAGGTTAGCGACAAAGATAATTGTCTTTGAGCGATCTCGATCAAGCTTTTCGATTTGTGTAATATTTGTAGAGGCACTATTCTCTTCCTTCTTGGCCTTTACACTGGTTAGTTACTTTAATATTAGTAATATTCTGCTTATTACCTTGTTTACTTTTTTGACACGTCTTTTTCTACGAGAGGATGATACCTTTGGCGTCCTTTTGGAAGGAAGCTCCGACTTGGGACGGGCCACTTCAACATTAATCTCGCGACCGTCCAGTTCCTTCTTGTTAAGATCCTTGGCTGCTCTTTTGGCTTCGTCTTCTTTTTCAAAGGTAATGAAACCATAGCCAAGATGTCTTCGGCCTCGCTTGATGATGACTGTCTCTAAACTACAACACACGTATATAAACACATATTCCATTTCCCAGATGTATTCAAACTTACATTTTACCAGACTTTTCCGCAAATGCAGTCAACGACTCCTTTGTAGTCTTGAATGATAAGTTGCCCACAAACACCTTGTTTTCAAAGGGTTGTTCATTCATCACTAGCCTAACAGGTGCTGTAGGTTGAGTGCCAGATAGAGTAGTAACAGTTGTAGTCATGATTTGATGTTTAAGAAAAGAAAAAGAATAGAAGAGAGAAAAAAAATCAGGGGCTCCAATTTATGTGAAATAATCTCTAACCGCAGCTGTTTGATAGAATCGTAAGGTTACGGGCCAATTAAGAATACCACATGACTTTTTGCACGCTGTCACACGTATCTCCTCATACTGACTGTGAAACTCAGGGCAATGCTTTATTTATTTTTTACTGCTGCAAAGCTTGGGGCAATGTTTTTCATACTGTTGGGAAGTGTTGACAGTGCCAATTGGCGGGTTCATTGTTACTCAAATTACAGGTTTGTGTGGTTCAGTTGGCGTCTTTATTACCTAACGTAAAAGATGTCATAAAGCCTCCTTTTACGCGAATTCTTGTCGTAAGATTGATAAATAGAAAGACAAAACGCATGAGGTGTAATTTCAAGTAAACGACTAATACAAAAAGTTGTACAACAACTACAATCCTCATTTGATGATAAGACATATCATGAGCCATTAAAGCAAACTCGATAAAACTTTACCTTCTTTAACTGCATTTAATGGTAATTTGACAATTTGCTTGCAAACAAACCAGGGATAGGTGTACACTTCTACTAGGAAGCGTCCATTCACCTGTCTTAATTTGGTTAAATCGGAATCTCAATTGGCCCTTCTGCGGATTGTAATGAGGGAAGCATCAGTCACAATCTTGCTTGAAAGTTGGTATTCTCTTTTTACATTTTTTGATCAAAGAATATGCTTGAACAAACAACAACTTCCATATCCAATTTCTTAAATAAGCATCAACATGGTGCACGCATAACCTTAACAGCTCTCTCAGCCTCAGTCTTAACAGCTATGGCCATACTAGGCTATCAAAAAATAACTCGACATCATTTGAGAACAGAAGAAACAAAAGAACGAAGATCGTCCATCATTTCTCTAATTAATGACGAGTATGAAGAAAAGGATCCCTTGGACGAAGCGCTCGTCTTGGAATTCCTCGCTCGAAACATTGCATTTCTCGGCGAAGAAGGTGTATCAAAGATTCGTAAATCGTTTGTTATCGTCGTGGGTAATGGGGCCATTGGCTCATATACTTCCTTGATGCTCGTGCGATCTGGTATTCAACATATTCGTATTATCGATAAAGACGTGATCCGTTTAAGATCCTTGACGTGTCATGCTGTAGCAAAAGTTGCTGATGTTGGTAAAAAGAAGGTAGACACAATGAAGAAGCATCTAGCACATATTGCTCCCAACGCGACAATAGAGCCAGTGTGCGAAACACTTGGCCCAAACAATATGGATAGCTTATTATCGGGTAAAGGGAATACGTTAGGCATTGAACAGTAGAAATATTAACCACTTGTATGTAGGTCAACCTGATTTTGTTGTAGACACGCTATCTTCTGTGAAGGACAAGGTCTTGTTGGCAAAGTATTGTAAAGAACACAATATAAAGATTATCAGTAGCATCAGCGCACATGGAAAAGCAGACCCCTCTCAGATTCAATTGACAGATATTAGCAGCAGTGCGCAAGATCCACTGGCGCGTATGTACAGAAGGCAGCTAAGAAAATACAAGATAGATAGAGACATACCTGTAGTCTATTCGATTGAGAAAAACTTGAACTTTGACAAGGTGCCTGATTTCACCAAGCGATCATTACCTGTGTTTGGGCCTATCGCTAGTATGTTTGGCATGTCTTTGACTACCTATGTCATTTTACAGTTGGCTGGATTTACTGCTTATGAATTACCAGAGACAAAAGGACGTGATGGTGTCTATTCACGTATCCAAAAGGAAGTTGCAAGAAAAGAAGAAGCTGTTTATGGCAATAAGTAAAGAAATATACATACCTTATGAAGATTACAGTACTAAATCATTGAGCATAGAACGGACATTCTTGATGTTGATGATATTGGATACATATTTGAAGAGCTGTGGCAAGGAAAGAGTGCATTTTCAGATACATTGGACAGAGCACTTGTTATGACTAGATGGGATAGATCAAAGCCATGTAGTTATACAAATACTATTCTTGTAACAAAACAAGAAGCAAAGGATCATGAAGCTCTTCCAGAAGAAACTGATCTTCACGCACATTATGGCCCAAGTGAGTTGAATATTAAAAAATGATATAATCAGTCTAACTGGTTTAATAGTTGCCGAATATGTAGAAAAGCAGCTTAATCTAGAAAAGAAAGTTCAACAGCTTTGGGAATCATGTCAATAAATAACTGCGTCTATATTGCTTGAAGCTGCATTTACATAATAACAGGTTATTTTTATGAAAAAAGAAATGATGAATATAGAATTGTACAATATATTTTTTAAATTGGTATTTTCTCGACTTCAGCACGAGCCTCTTGCCATGCTTCCAAATTCTTTATAAATGTTAGTTTTGTGTATAAGAACAGTTTATATAAATTACCTTTTGACAATAACGTATGTGTATCTTTGCATAAGCAATTAGCATATCTCGTAAATCCTGGATCTTTTCCTTTTGAAATCGATCCAAGTCTGATTGTAGCTCTGTAGAGATCGCACCCAAGTCCTTACTTGCGATACTTAGAGCTTCTTCCAACACATGAATTGCATCTTTAGACATGCCAATCTGATTGCGTCTTGTAGCTTCGGGATTAGCATCAATGATATTCTGTAAGGTATGTCCAACTGCACTGATAACACGCATTGGTTTACCAGCCCAGTTGCTGTTATGTGGTAGTGGTCTAGTCGTCTGTCTTGATGAATAAGCCCTGCTACTCAAACTTTCATCCACATCGCCTGTCGTGTCGACAGCGGAACTGTCCCTGGTGAGAGCTGCTTCAAGACGTCTAGCTTCATTTTCCATGTTTTGTAAGCTATTCAAGTACTCTTTTCTGTTATTTAATGATGTCTCGATCATCTCTACTTGAGCGTGCTTCATATGACGAAACTTTAGCACCTGTTTAATAATTTGGGCAAATTGGGCATGCTCTTGGATAGGCTCAGCAAATTCGCCTTCTAAAGAAGTGACCATCTGACCTGTTTCAGTATAGCCAACATCCACTGCCTGTCCAATCTTTTCGATAGCATTTGCAATCTCGCCTGTTTCATTCAAGCTAAATCCATTATATACTGCGCCTAATTCTGCATAATCATTTGCTAGTTCTATTAAAGAACATGATGGGTATATGCACGACCTTATGATTGCTTTCTTTACCTCCTAATCGACGTATAACCTTACGCTGACTTTTATCCAGGTTATTGTTCATATAATTGGCTATCCTAAAAGTAAACTTTTCTGATTCTTCAAACCTTGGATCAGGATTTTGTAACTGATAAGCTGCTGAAGGAGAAGGAATCAAATTGCTTGATAGGACAGGATTGAATGTATGTGTTGGTGCGTCTACTGATTTGCTGACTACCATCTGTAATGGGTTCTTTGGCATAGTCGATAAAGGAGGAGAATGAAGGACGTCAGACTAAGATGATATTAGCCAAAGACGATCGGAAATTACACATATGATAATGATAGACTGCTTACCCAGGAAACACCGCTCTCCAGAAACAAGTGAAATATGTGTTCTTTACCCAATTCAGGATGTTTGGCTATTCTATTCAAAAAGGTTTGAAGCATTCGTTTTCTTTTCTCAATCATGGGCAAATCGTCTTTTACTCTTGTTTGCAAAGCAGCATAATCAACTATATATATATAAAAGGTATTAGTATAATTGTTGCTTGTATTCTTATTATACCTAATGAATGCTTTTCGGGTATAGGCGGTACAATTAGAGCAGGATGAAGTAAGGTCATTGCTTTTCTAAATGATTCAAATTCGCTATATCTACGTTTAGTTTCAATATCCTACATTCCGAAATGAGTAACTCTTTGATAAAGCTGTTGTTATGTCTTACACCAATACGTAAACAGTAAGCAATATAACTTTTGCCTGAAGGTGAATCAGACTGTTTCTGTGCTCCAGTAATAAAGATATAAGTTTCGTCATGACGAAGTAGTCGATCAATGGCACAACCACAAGTTGGCTTTAATGAGTTTCTTTGAGACATAATATTATCCGAAAATAAAAATAAAAGGGAAACAAAGGGTTAAAAGGAGAAAAAAAGAACCTCTTGCAAGTATGTCACGTGCCACAATGACGATAGAAGGGCATAGTTGATACAATGTTTATGACAAAACAATAACAATGGATGTTTGTAACACAATAATAGCGAAGAATATATAAATACCACTTGTCTTTATTTACGATAAAATGCCAAGATGTTGCTTGCCTTTTTATGAATAAACCTCAGAACACCATCCAATCTTTTGTCTATAATCTCTGGGCTATAAACAGCAACAGTGAATGGTGCGGTAGCAGGAGGATCCGTTGGATTAGCGATCAAGAACCCACTTGGAAGCTTCTTGAATGCTTGAACAATGATATCAAGGTTAATCTGGGTAAGATCAGAAGGAGGTCTGCTAAATATGCCAACTTTGGGTAATTGCTGATCCCATTCTACGTCAGCTTTAATCATCCGGACTATACTGTTGACGTAAACATCCATTATCTCTGCGTTCACCAAAGTCTTGGTTATATATACCAACAACTCCTGGTAGTATTTCAAGAATGGTTCATAAACAAACACCTTGGTCGTTAATGGACGCAAAAGGAAACCTGGATGCTCTTTAAAGTCACCACTCGTCATCAATTCTTCTTTAAATGAATATCTTCCTACGGTTGCATCCATATCGTGAGGTATATAAATAATTTGACCACCATTCAAAGGATCCATATAGAGATAATAGTTATTGGCAGTCGCCATATAACCGTCACTCAATCCTAACAAGTTCTCTATGACCATTCTATATATAAACACTTAGTTTATATATACTCTGTTATTATGTCCCATATCTACTTACGCTCGAATAAATGATTCCATATTCATCTTTTGTTCCCAAGCTTCAATAGGCGTCGTCTCCAATGAAGAGTCACGTATGAATCTAGTAAAATCTTGAAGAGGGACTAAATCTTTCAGAGTGACACCTTCCGAGGGCTCCTCGACATCATATTGTCCTACAGCGTACTTGGCAACATCTTCTTCATAAGCCAAATCTGACACAGCAAATGAAAGACCTTGTTTAAAGAACCCTTGACCTTGATACAAACGCCCCACTCGGTAATTTTTAATGTTGCCTGCAAACTCATTCTGAAGCCATTGTGTGTTGAAGTCTTCGATGATTCCAAATAACCCAATAGGTTGATTGTTTATAAATAAGCTAAATCCATAAAGTAAGTTATCATATCTAGCATGTATCCCCCTTTCACTTACCGAACATAAGAAAACCCACTGACGGGTAAACCAACAGACTGTAGAACAGAGTGACATATAGTCTCACGCACATATGAAGGGTCCTTGGCAAGGGCACGCAACCTGATGTTTGTATAGCCAAATAAGGATGTGCCATCCTTTATCTTTACGGTATAAGACACCTTAGGGACCCAACGAGAACCACGACCAGCCAAAGAGAGTTTGACGGTCTTGTAAGTGTAAACATCATTCAGTCTATAAATAAGATAAGGTAATTGCATCATTTACATCATATGCTTAAATTACCCAATATAAGTCATACCAACATCCAACGTGATGTCTTGGAGTTGATTTCCGTGCAAGTAATCAACAGCCGTCTGATTACCACGGAGATGAATAGTGGGTATCTGGTTTGGAATATGTAAATCGGACCTTATTCTGCGGATAGGTGCCAAATCGGGCATGACTTTAGGTAAAGTGAAAATGTCGTGTACATTGACGGGCCTGTTGAAGAATTCATGACCGGTTACATCGACATCGAAATCAATTCGACGGTTAAAGGTTTCAGATTCGACGATTTGATGTTGTGCATCTACAATCACATATCTGTAGTACATGGCTGGGTCCAGAGCTCGGCCTCTGTAAAGAAGTGGTTCATAGCTTGAAGGGCTTAAAAGGGTGAGACTACCATCGACTAAGACGCCTACAGAATGTCCAGCAGAAACAGAGACAATCACGCTATATGTCACCCATCGAGCATGAACAACAGACAGGACTATAGATAGCAATACTTTTTGCATTTATCAGTAACCATGATTATCCTTTTCCTTTCTTCTTCTTTACCAAAGACTATAGTCATCATTAAATGGATAATGGAAAGAAAAGAGGGGGATAAGAAATGTACAGATTAAATATACATTTGTATAATAAAAAGTTAATCTTGCCCAAAAGAATAGTTTGATACCAAAACAAGCGGGCATCTGTACATCAAGGGGGTGCGCCCTTGAGGAATTCTTCATAACTTATTAGGCTGTGCATACGAAAGGTAGAAAATATATAATAACGTTTATTTGATTATTATTTTTTTAAGAAGGGGAGTTATGAGATTGCTAAAAGCACAATTTGAGATACATTTACATCTTCACTTCTAACTGCCAATTCAAAAGCAACTCCAGTACTTGTGCTAAAGGTCATTCTACACCTTGCCAACACTCTGCTTCCATCCAAAAATGTGCCAGATAAAAGTAAAGTATGTACACTATTGTTCTTTGGTGCCTCAGTGCCTTCCAAGGGTTGCATACCCAGTAAGTCGATTATTGAATCACATGCGCCTATTGAGATATGGTTAACTTAAATATGCTCAATAATTCTGTCATACTTACTCTTCAAGTTGTGAGCCTTTTCCTTATCCAGGGCAAATGTGTCAATTGCTTCATTTTCCTCCAACTTTTCAAATTCTTCAGCAAAGTCAGAGACATAGGATGCACGGATGTAATCACTCGTGGTCACTTCGATATCTTCAACTTGGTATTCATCATCAAATCCTTCGGGATCTGCCTCTCCTGTAGTAGGATCACAGTCTTTGACAACAAACTTGAGTGTGTTTGTGAAGGTGACTATGGACAAATAAGCAAAAGACTTCTATTTTATATAAATGTATATATTTACCATTCGCGAGCTCCTCAGGGTCTTCTTGCTCAAAGGCAACATAGATTGCGCCTGTGACATTGTATTCGAGCTTCTCTGCAGGCAGCTCAGCTACTTGTACAAGCCCATCTATCTCAGGTTGCATAATCATATGAACGTTTTCTAATAATTGGTCATTCAACGTGTTTGTGCAGTTGAATTGGAATACAATATGCTTGGCAAACGTGTGCTTGATACAGTGGATGACGTACTCTGTTTCACTTTCTGTTAGCTCAATAGGCTTACTTGAGCTCTTGAACAGCGTGCCGAATGATGCAAATTCAGGAATAGCTGCCAATTGTTCTGCGTAGATTGCTTGTTGATCCAAGCTGGAAATAAGCGTATTCTTTCCAGAGACAGGCGTGGTCACGCCAGGACTGGAAACGGTAGGCGTTCCTTTGGCGGAGGGAGCGGATAATAAAGGAAGAATAGCAGTGTCGTTAGATCGGTTACCTATATAAAAGTTATATTGACCGCATTCTCTCTTCTTTATAAAGACTTACGGCGTCGTTCTTCTTCTTCTTGAGATTTGCTGATAACTGGAATTGTATCAAGCTTGAATTCTTTTACATTTTCATGTGAGTTGTTGATGTATTCGACAAGTTGGCGTTCAAGCATAGGCAAAGCGTATGTAGAATCTTTACAAGAGTGAGTAAAAACGCGCTTATCTTATTTTTCCCTTTCTTACCGTCTGTAACGTATTTCTTGGCAATATCTTGGTTGTCCATTGTAGAAAGATACAATGTAGCACGATCACGAACTTCATCATTCACATCATCCAAGCAGCGATTCAACAACACACGAACACTCTTTCTAACTTCTTCATCATGGCTATTCACACCAAATTTGGCAAGAGCGCTGACGGCAGCAGCACGTACGATGGAGTTTTCCAAGATAACACGATTGTAAATGTATCGAATGTATTTGGTAGGAGTTGCTGTCTTGGGACCTTCGATACCCAACAGATGCAAGACGCGTACAGAGAGTTTGGTGAATTCACAGTCTTCGATAAATTCACACAAGTGGGAAAGGGCTGTATCTTTGGATTCTGGAATGTACTTGACCATATCAAAGATAGCCTCGACAACTGCCTTCTTAAAGTTGTATCCTCCTTCATCGCGCAAGACGTTGCTCAAGAAGGAAAGCATGACGGCTTGTTTAGCTGGGAACTTTAAGCAAAGTGATCGGATGGCCTCTACGACGATCACCTTGAATTCGTCAGAGATATCGTTCATAAAACCAGAAATCTGCTTCATCAATCGATCAACGGATGCTTCGTTGCCTGTCTTTAACAACGTAGTGATGGCGAATGTAGCGATACTACGATTGGAGTCAGTAATCAAGTTTTCGATATCTAAATTGCAAGGAGCAACGACTGATGGGTTGTTGATGGAGAGTTTGTTAAGTGTACGAATGGCAGCAAATCGAAGCGTGGCTTTTGGAGATGACAAGAACAATTGAAGAACTGCTATGGCAGGGTGAAGTTCTTTAGCTGAAATATCTGTCATGTCACATATAGCACGGGCTGCTTCCAAATTGACCATGTCGCTCTTGTGTCTAAGGAAACCTTCGAATAATTCATACACTTTACGAGTAGAGCTATGGTTATTGTATTGCACATGGTTAGAAACCAGGATCATATTCCCTTTTTAACTTTTTATGTATACCTTGGATCATCTTCCATGACTTTGGAAGCAAATCGAATCAACATACAGACTGCAGAAGGATTCTTGAGCACATTGGAGCTACTACCTCCACCCAAGAAGCCACCAGAGCTACGTGCACCTGAAAAGGTTTGGACCAATTTTGCAATAGCCATACGATCATGTTGACGAATTAAGTACAATAAACCAATAGCATGGTACTGGTGAATGTTACTTGTAGAAATAACAACTTGGTTTTGGTTACTTGATCCAGAACTAAAATAACTTGAAGCAGAAGCAAAACTTAAACCACCCGAGGGTTTTGTGTTGATAGCTTCTTGAACCTCATTTGACCATCGACGAATGATATCTCTGGCAACATCAAATAGATGATAGGATGAAACTAAAGCTGCAGAAGAGACAGAAGGTGTCTTGTCAACAATAGCAGCCTTCAAAATACGTTCGATGCCTTGGATCATAGAGGGCTATACATTGTGTTATTGTCGTCTGATATTATGTGTTTCTTTTTTTTTGGCCCTTACGTCTGTAATCAAGCATAAAGCACGAATGGCGTTTGCTCTGTAGATAGTTTCTTGTTTGGACTGAATGTCTTTAATAAGAGATTGAGTCACCATAATAACATCTTCAGCAATTCCTGAAAGTTCCTTGATGACCAGGTACATCATTTGACGAAGAGATGTCTATTATATAAACTATAAGACACACACATCTCGGCTGTTATTCTTGTTTTACTTTACATCTTTTGATTGAAACAATTTAATGACGTTGAAGAATAAGTCGGTTGCTTCCTTTACAGTGAAAGGTTCACCAATGTAAAGCAAGTAAATAATCTTGGTCAATAGCAATCGACATTTTCTCGCGTTAATAGGTGAACTGTTAAACACTCTGGCTTCTTGAAGTACAACAGTTTTATCGACGTGGTAAAATAACCCAGCGTCTCCTCCTATCAAGTAAAAGAGATGAATATACTATTTGTTGTTGCTGATGTCTTTTTTTTACCTGCTTCTTCGTCACGCTTATTATAGTTCATGAGGAATGCGTTACTTTAGGATGAGCTGTGATTGTATATGAAAAAGGGAAAAAAGGGAAACAGCTAAATGTGTGTTTAAATTTTACAGGTCGATTTGATTGGATAATGTAACCGGCTGCCACACTCTCTGCCTTAGTACAGCCAATTAGAGAGCTAAACAACTGAGATTGAACTAGATATGATGGGTTTAATCACGAAAAAGAATGCCCTGAGTATATCCAAAGCATAGTAAGCACAGTAAGCTTTATAGTGTAAAAGAAGATATATTTTAAGAAAGCGTTCCTTTATTCTGTTTCTTTATAGACTTTGGTTATAAAAACTGAGTACAGCAGCACTCTTTTTAGCAATGAACACCTGTGGAGGTAGATATTGCTCAGGGATCTTGGTCCAATTGGTCAAAAAGCCAGGTGGCATAATCTTCGCTACTTCAGTCTTGTCTCCTCCAGGCTCAGGAACTGGGGCTCCATGAGCAAGCTTTGGCAGAGACATATCCCACTCGATATCAGGCTGAATCATTTTCGTAACGCTGTCAAAGAATGGATTCATAACAGTAGGATTTACCAATGACTTTGTGACGTTGACCAACAGATTTTGGTAAGGTGCAGAAAAGTAGTCATAAGAAAAGAACTTCTTGGGCAAAGGTCGGAAGGTCAAGCCAGGGAATGCAGTGTAGTTTCCTGTGAGTAACAGGTTCATTTCAAATAGGCCAGTACCAAGCGTAGTATCAAAATCGTAAGGAATATAGATCATACGGCCATCCTCAGGATTCTTGTAAAAGTTGAAATTATTTGACATTGTCATCAGGGCATCAGAGAATCCCAACAAGTTTTCAATAGTCATACTAGAGAAAAAGAATTAGATAAATACAATAGCCCATGTTTGTCACTTACGCTCGAAGGAAAACGTCAACATCCATACGTTTTTGCCAATCATCAATAGTCGTCGTGTTTGAAGCGTCCTGAATAAACTTTGTAAACTCTTGTAAGTCAGAAAAGTCTTGTGGGCTATCCTTTGAAGGACCGGCTTTGATTTTGTATTCTCCCAAAGTATATATGGTAAGGTTATCATAATAGCGAAGATCAGACATGTACTGCCATTCTTGCTGGTTCATACCCGCAAGAATTGCTTGGTAAAGGTAGCCAGACTTGTAGTTCTTGTCTCCGTCTTTGAATTCACTTGCAAGCCAAGGATCTTGAAATGTTTCGATAACACCATATAAACCAGCAGGCTTGTTATTAATAAATAGTCTAGATGTTAGAGTATTAGCGTATTTATGACTACAGGCGAAACATGGTTACCTAACATATGAGAAATCACTGGCAGGTACACCCACAGCCTTGAGTGCAGAATGAACAGTTTTTTCACGTATATAAGAGGGGTCCATTGCCATGGCTCGTAACTTTAGGTTTTTGTAGCCATACAGTGTATCATCACTCTTCTTTTTTAACTTTATTCCAAATGAAACTTTGTCGACCATACGTGAGGAGCGACCAGCCAAAGATACCTTTACATCCTCAAATGTTTCAATTTTATCCAGTCTACAGTAACACATGTTAATAAACTCATTAAAGGGGTATCATAGGATGCTGTACCCAATGTAAGTAAGGTTTAATTTAATGTCAATATCCTCGGTAGCGTTCTTGAGCAAGTAATCCACAGCCGTTTCATTTCCCCATAAATGATATGTAGGTATTTGACCTTCAGTATGAAGATCTGATTTTATTCTGTGCAAGATAGGCACAGGGGTCATCACTTGTGGGAGAGACGTGATGTTGTGTGTGTTGAGAGTACGATTAAAGAATTCGTTTGATGTATCTTTTTGAATTGGATTTCTTGTGAATGGCTCAGGAACTTTAACAGTGTTGAATTCTACGATTGCATAGTGGTATTCCTTTTGGGCAATAGGAGCTTTGCCTTGATACAAGATGCCTTGATTTGCTTGTAAGGGAAATGGAGTGCCGTCTACCACAACTGCGAGACCCATATTGGGTGGAGGTGAACTGATGACACTATAAGTAATATTTTGTTGCTGTGCTTTAGCACTTGCAAATATCGCCACAAAAAAGGGGACGGCTAGAAGTGACAAGTATATTAATAATCAAGTATCTCTTCCAGTAAACCCCTACTTACATATTTTGCTGAATAACATCCTTTAACGATTGTAAAATGAAAAAGACAATATATGAGCCGAGATGGGGTTATTTATATGATTGTTGTCGGTCGTCAGTCTTACACAAAAAAAAAAATGCTTAGCATTGCTTAGCCCAATGCCAATGTTCACTGACGTCTGTTTCCGTCAAAAAGGATCGTGAGACCGGATCAAGTATGGTGACACCTCAAGCAGATCTTTTCATATCAAAGTGGCTGACCTTACGACCAAGTTTGGAAGGTTAGACAGAATGTATGAAGCATATTTTAGCCAAGCTAATCACAAGGGATAAAAAAAAGTAATAGTTGCTAAGCAGTAGTTGGTGTTACGTCAAAAGAAAAGCTCCATTGTCTCGCAGCGCACTCCTATCCAATAGGAATAATAGACAGCTGTAGAGATCACGTTACTAAGCAAATCTTGCTCTCAGTAGCGCCGATGATAAACTCTTTTATTACTAAGCAGAACAGCGTATGACATGAGTTCACTGAATAGACAGATTTAACGACCAAATGATATCAAGCCTATTTATCTTTTTTACTTTAATCACATGCAGCATAAAGGGTTGCATTAACTGAGAGGCACCTCCCTTTGAGAGAGTAAATGAAGCTGAGTTGCATTTGCAGTCACTGATCATTTTTTTCTGTCTTTTTTTTTTTCTCTTTTTCTTACAGCTCTAATAAATAAACAATGTATGACGATGATGAGGAAGAATTAGAACTGTTACGACAGTATGAAGAAGAAAACATTGTGGGAGATGGTCAAGACACATACTCTAGGTAAATGTCAAATTCTTATCATAGTTACATATATAAACCTTTCCTTTTTAAGTGAAGAGATGGATAGCGATTTAGAAGAAAAGATCTTGAGCGTGACCCATTATGATGTGGGTGTAGACAAGAAAAAGAAAAAGACTGAATCTACAGCAACTGAACGATCAACACCAACAGCACCCGTATCAGCACCTGATGCTAGAGGTAGAGTATTGCCCAGTAAATCAGCGCGTCGCACTGTGAGCACAGTCCATGCACCTATAGATCTTGATCGAAAGAGGGCTGACTTCTCTGCTGCCAGTGAGCTTAAACTTAATTCTTCAGATGAGGAAGGAGAGTACAGATCAGAAGAGGAAAAAGAAAAGGAGATGGCTGATGTAGCTGTCTCAGACTCGTCTTCTGAAGAAGAAGAAATAAGGGAAGCACCTCCTCCAGTGACAAGACATATCAATTTGGATGATAAGCAGTACATGGACGATGTGGAGACCTCTGAGGAAGAGCGTGAACTTGGTGCTGAGCTTCGTGTGCTAATTGATGATTCCATACAGGTAAAGTGGTTCATCAAGATATGCTGTCATTTTTACTAATGATGGTTTATTTTTCTTAGGCACGTGGTGGCCAAAGTAGATTGGGTCGTCCTCCTAATGCACGAGTGATTATCTGTTATAGATGCAAACAACCTGGACATCAGCAACAGTACTGTTTGATGGTAGGAGAGATGAATTGATTGTTTGCATGTCGCTAAAAAATAGTTTATGGCTTGATAGTGTACAGAGTGTGGTTTGAAGCATAGAGGCCCATGTATGTGGCCAAGGTATTGTAAACTATGCAAAATGGACGATCACTATAAGGAGGTACAAGATACAGCAGGTCATAGAGGGATATTTCTTAACAGTCATCATAGGACTGTAGAGGAAAGAGAGAAACACGCGACTGTGAAATATGTGGCGATAAATACCATAATACAGAGGTAAGGAAATGCATGCTGAGTGTATAATGATCAAACTAACATCTTGAATAGATTTGTACTAAGATGCTACATATTTATGATGGTGAAAAGCCTGCAAGTAAAAATATGACCATATTTTGCTACAATTGTGGTGACTATGATCACTTTGGTGATGTAAGTTCAATATATATGTACACGTTTTCTTTTAATAATATCATATATTTAGCAATGCCGCAGATATGCTTATAATTCGATTATACCGTCTGTATTTAGTGAACAAAGTATAAACTACAGCGAGCTCAACAAGAATAGAAAGAAATCAAATAAACGAAAACGAAGAGAGCATTATTACTTTGAGAGTGATGATGATGATGTTTCTAGGAAAAAGTCAAAGGGTTCAAGAGATTATCGACACGCAAGCAGTAGTAACAACAACAATAATAATAACAGCAATAGTAGTAGTCATCGCATGTATAACAAAGGAAGCCCTAGCAGTTCCAGTACCACCTCTTCTGTCTATAGTCGAGACGAAGGTAAAAAGCGAAAGAAAGGAAAGAAAGTATTGGATGATTTCTTTGGAAAGCAGAAAGGAAACAGGTCTCATGGGTCAAATCAAGCCATTACTGGAAATAGTAATTGGAAAGCCATCAACAATTACATGAATTCGCTTCCTCAGCCATCAAGGTCAGGCACTGTTCAACTAAATAAGAATAAGAACAATAGAGAGAGAGCGGACCTTCCAAAACCTAGTAAAAGTGGAGTCATTGACTTTTAAAATGTACATAAACCTTGCAACATCATGAATTAGCTTTATTGTAACAAATCTGCAAAGTAATCTTCATATTCTTCTTGTTTAGATTTTTCTTGCTTACTTTCAATCGGTTTACTCCAAATAGCTGAGGCCTTTTCTTTCTCTTTTTCTTCTTCTAAAGCACTGTTAATAAAAGCAATAAAAGCAACATGATAATAACTACCATCTGTCTCACTACTACTTTCTTCAGTCGATACATCTTTATCATCTTCTCTATTCTTTCTTCTTCTCTTTTGCTTCTTTTCCTTTCTTTTGACTGCTCTTTTCTTTGTTTTGTAATTGAGTTTATCAGAACATTCTGGGCAAAGTCTGACCTTGACCAGCTCATTTTTCTTTTCGCCATCCTCAACATAACCAAAGTTTACTTCCCAACTCTTGAGAGATGTTGTTGATTCACAAGAGGTGGATGCACATATAAACTGTCCCTTTCCTGAAACGACTTCCCTTTCCACACGCCAACGTAACGCAATCTTGCCCTCTTTGTAATACTTTAATTCACAAATGGCATATTCTTTAAATAATCTGTCATAATATTTTTTGGCTACGCGTTGTTCCCAACTATCTGGCTCTTCATTATTTGATCTCACAAACCTTGGGGAAAACAAAGAGTCAATTAAATAAAGACTATATTTTAACCTTACCTATGATTTTCTCTAATAATGTCTGCCTCTGTTTTATATTCGGTAGGGACAGTCGAAGGTACTTTACCTCCGTAGTATGTTAAATAGTTGTGAATAAGTTTTTTATGTCGAGTGTACTATTGACAAGGTGAGTTTATGAAAAGATAGTGTTTTCTCTTTTTACTTACAGCATCAACACCCTTTAGTTCATTACGAAAGGCTAAACTTGTTTTTGAAGTCATGAAGAAGAAAGAGAAATACAATCAAGTCACAGGGAGAATGAGCTTGCTTTTTTCCTTGTCTAAAAAAATAAAATAAAAATACATAAAATGCAACATTCGATGCGTGATCAAGTCAATGCTTGCTTGACAGAGTATGCAGATTTGATAAAGAAATACTTTGCATCCCTATCAACAGCTGCTGATCATGTTACATTGGACGAAGCAAATAATCCTGAACATATCATCAAGGAAATAGTCGCGCTTGAAGACAAGTTACAAAAGTCAGTTGAGCAAAGTAAATAGAGATGACGACAAAATAGAGAAACACAAAGCCTGACATTCTTTCTAGTTGAAGAACATCAAAAGAGACAACAAAGGATCATTCAAGTTCAGGATGAGATTCATCAATACAACAAAACACTATTAAATCTTGTACACAAATTAAATACGAGTCGAAATGAACTCGATCAGCATTTGTCAAGTGCAAAGATAGAATTAAAAGCTACAGAATATGCTAGAAAATGTAAATGATAAGAGATACCATGTTCAACTCATTGACTCTTTTACATAGCCAACATACAATTTACTGATATACTGTCTTATGCCTCAAAACTATCAAAATATACCTCAGCACCACCCAACTTTGATGTCTTGAACAGAGAGATGAAAATGGACTTTGAAAAGCCCTATCCTGATGAAGAGCGTATGCGTAGAGGATTACTCTACTGGCAAAACTCCTCACAGCCACATACAGAAGAACGATGTAAGGAAAAAGGAATGATACATCCTATTCATACTCATTTTCTTTATAGTTGAAAGTTCGGATAGTGAGATATCAGCCACTGAAGATACAACAGAGCAAAATGTAAATAGACAGAATGAAGACGCGGGTGGTGACCCGTTCTGGATATTGGATCTCAACCCTGATATGCAATCATAATGAAATACAATATATTTATTTTTGTTAAGCGTTTTTAATAGTGAAATAAGGAGAATAGCTGGTATAACTGTTATTTCCAACAATAGTCAAAACATCTACAAGATGGAGTTAGAACTATGTGTGTTTTTTGATATCCATTATAACTTACAGTCACTCTCTGATGTCAAGTTGGTTGGAACTGTCCAGTTGTAAGTTGGTGGATTAACAGGAATGGAACCATTTTTGAGAATATTGAGGATGACGGGAGTAAGATAAGCTGCATTGCCCTTCCATAAACCAATCTTTTCGATACGAGTAGCGTTCTTGTTGAGAATAGACCATGAGATTGTAAAGTTGGATCCTCCCTTGACAACAGTCTAGTCATTGTTAGAAAAGGGGTGAACTGTACTAAACAAGAGACTTACATTGAGCACAGGTGAAGTGATGGCTACACCAGCATTAAGTGGTGCTTGAGCATAAACATATAAAATAGATTGAATAAGTAAAGTGCAAACAATGGCAAAGAACTTCATTTTGATATAAAAAGGAAAACTGCTGATGGTTTTTTTTCTGTCACTTTCTCACTCTTTGCTGTATTTATACGTTCTGCTTTCCACGGAAGAACGATGTTTGATGAAGTAATAAACAGCCATTTATTACTCAATCCTTACATGCACTTCTTTACAATACCCACATCGGATGCTTTTTCTTTCTTTCTCAGATATTTCCCCTTCCCCTGTATTCCCATCCGTACATATTTTCTCTCTGTCTGTGCAAGCGTCTTTTTCGTTTATACATGGTTAGATCCTCTTTTGTTTTTATGTTCTCAATCCATGGACTTTGTTTGTATCACCAAAATTCTGCATGTCAAAAAGGACATACGTAATGCCTCATCCTTGGCATTTGGAACATGTGTCTATTGTTATCCTTTCTCTCATCGGCTATAATCAGACAACAGTATCTTACTCTATGAATAGTTCTCCTTTCTCCTCTTGATCTTTTTTTAAGTTTTTTACTCTAAACATTTGCATGACATCACTGATACAGAGTACAGCGGAACATTGATCCGTGTGTCATCTGATTATTTATTTTTATCTTTAAAGTTTATCTAATCCACACTTGGGCCACGGTTACTTTGTAAGGGAATATTTAGTGTCCGCTAAGGAGAATGCTGGTTGATTTGGAGGGAATATGGTAAATGATATATTCAACTTCTCTCTTTAACTCATCACAGTATCTATTCAATGGCAAATCATTGTCATCATATCCAACTATAGAATGTGAGAAATTGGATGTCAGATTATGATTAAGACTTACAAGGATTCTCGATTTCTGCACCAATTGCTTCAATACCAAAGAGAGTAAAAGAAACCAGGGCAACAATAGGAGCAACAAGCCAGCCGAGAGACTCTACCAAGGCAAAGGGCAAAAAGAAGATATACAACATGACTGCTTGTTTTCTAATGTGTAATAGAGTCAGCAGATGAGAGGCAATAAAGATAATGACTTACAGATGGATATTGTATGCTTTGGGAATAGGTGTATGCACAATTCTTTCAAATGCAGTCAAGGAATTAGCCAAGATATCAAGTGAATTTACTGTAACAGAAACAAAGGATGAATCAATTCTTTTTTCAGCTTTGGCCTGATTGATGAACAAGGCGATACGGAATAGGATCTCCAGAGGCAAGGAGAGATCAGAGTCCCCTTGGTAAGGCAAATCCTCTGGACTTGTAAACTTGGAATGATCCAAGTGTCTCTTGATGCCTCGATGATGCTGTTGCTTAAATCGGTTAATAAGGTTTGTCTCGTCTTCAAAGTACGATTTACCCCTGCCGTTAGGGGCAGAGGAACAAGTGGGCGCGTCAGTTCCGGCAACTTCAGATGGTGATTGAACAGTTTCATCCAACAGATGGACGTCCTCGCGCTGCTCCTCTTCATCCGATAGACTAGGTGAAGCATCTGCACCCGTAAGAGATCTTTGGAGTTGTGCAGCGGTTAAATGGCAAAGGTTTGAGTTGGGAAATTCCTGTTGTATTAAAGAGCGTCGGATGTTTGCAATATCCGTAGGCTCATCCGAATCCATGTATTCACCATGAGTGGCAGGCTTGACTGAATTTTTTGAGTTGACAGATATTGCTGGATCTCTTGACAGCACGTTGACAGAGATGCGACGACGACGTAATGACGTATCCTCTCCGCCCAGTAGAATGTCCTTGTGCGATGTGTTTGATGTAATACCTCCATAACTCTTTCGTTTACCACCACCTGCTCGTTTCAATTTTGCTACACTGGCTGGTTCCCAATGAGGCGGTAATAGCTCCTTTACTATGGTTTTGGTTATTTATTAAGAAGGGGAAGTGCATGCACGTATCACTTACAATCATGATAATCGGTTCCATATTCCTGACGAAGATGATGCTTTGTTGCAACAAAAAAGGCTAATAAAAGTTTAATACACCGCATTTTTGCTAAATGATCCTCATCGCTCTCTTCTGGAATATTGATCCACACCTGTCGAGCCACATTTCGGATGGTACCCATGACCGTCTGAACCAGTTTACGACCCTCCCAGTACCGATCATAAGCAGTGTTGACACGAAATGCGAGTAGTAAACCCAAGGCGACAGAAACGGTTCCTACTGTTGGACAAAGGTTAAGCTGCGCGTACCCTGCTTGGTTTTAATTTGAGACTTACAAACTGAGACAGGAACACTAATGGTAACAGCGAATGTGATATTAAAAAGACAGACCAGACATGAAAACATGGTTGTAATAGCGATACCAGGCAATGTTGGCAGAAAGACCTATAGGAATCAAGATCAATTGGCTACTCTCTCTTTAATATGTAAACTTTACTGATCCTTTCCAGCGTAAGACATCTGGCCAGACAAGTTGACGCTTGACATAGAAAGAAAAATCACCAAGCAAAGTTGGCTTCTTTAAATAAGGATAACCTTTTGAATGTTAATGTGGTAAATTGGACATTGATATGCTATTTACCCTCTACAGTGTGTGTGTTTAATGTAGGCATAAAAATAGATATTTTGTGCAAAAAAAGAAAAGAAAAGAAACAAACAGAAAGGTACACAGGCTACACAGCTTTTTGCTGTAAATCTGCGCTTGTGTCTATAATTTTTTTTTAATTTGCGCACTGCATCAAATTATTCCTCAGATTGACGTCTTTTCCTCCTTTTTTCCCACTTTATATAGTCTACTTGCTTTTATGCACTGAAGTATATATATTTATATTTTGGATCCATGTTGTAATAAAATTGGGTAAGCTTTTGATTTGAATATCGTCTCTAATTCAACCTTAGCTTGTCTCCTATTTCGATGTCAGATGTGGTACATTGCTCGCTTTTTTATTCGTAGTTTAAAAATAATACAATAATAAAGTGTCCCCCTTTGTAGTTTCTAAACTGCATTGGTGGAACAAGCGAAGGGGCATTTCACAATTCTTGACGAAAACATGTCATAAATCTACAATCACACTTCAATGAGTAACTGAAGCTTCTCTTCAGAGACTTTGATGTTTTTTCCTCGTCTTTGAAAGTAAATCATGTGCCTAGTCAGCTATTAACTTTACAGCTTCGAAGTTTGCAAACTCTCTTAGGAGCACACTCACAAAATGACATGTTCTTCTGCTTATATGAATGACCGTGTTTTATTCTACAGTTATCTTATGATTGACTTTCTTCTCAAGTAGCACCATTGTTTACTATCTTTCGCCTTAATCGCTCGTTGACGGGATCTCATCCTTTTTCTCTTTTATTTCAAGTTATGAATTGTTGTCCACACGATGTATGATAGAATTGAATCTTGTCTCAGGCTACTTGATTTAATCTACCGTTGGCTAACGTTTGTCACATTCAAGGAGATAATACATTCTCATTTAGCCGCTTTATTCGCATTATAAGAGTCGTAGACATCTTTATACAAAACTCTGCTTCTGGCTTGCTTGGCTATTGAAGCCGTGATGACTGCTTATATCCAAAATTCTGTCAAAGATTCATACCGCAGTTCTTCATCGCCAGCTACAGTTCCACAGATATTCCTTGATACTCTTTATGTCTACGCATCAGGAAAATATGAACGGTCCAAGCTCGATATGGTGTCGTATTTCTACGTTTATATTAAAGAAGACATAACCCTTTGACGCAACATATTCAATATAATTTCGTACAAAAGCCAAGATACTATTACTAAGCCCACAAAACTGGCTCATGGCATATGTAGTTTGTAGCATTTGATAGCGCATCATATGATATATAATTGGTTGACAACATTTATTCTTGCACATAAAAGGTCAATTTCCTCTTTTGCCATGAATCTTTCTTTTCTCTGTTCATAAAAAACTTGTTCCATCTTGCCGTATTCTTATGCTTCCAAGGTAAACTATTTATTCAGACAATATCACATGCTCATCTTTTGAAGCAATAATAAATGAGGTAAGTTTTGGCAGAATAGGCCAAAATGATAGCTGAGGTACTGATTACATTAAATAGGCTGCTGCAGCAACTCGTGGTGGAACCAGCAGCAGTTCTACAAATGCTGTTAACATTGATGTTCTTGACGATCAAGTACATGAAATGTATGCTTGTTTAACTTTAGATACATTTTGTTATTATGTTTAATTAATTTCTTTTCTGTTGTACGCAGGCTTGGTGGAAAGTTTGTCATCTTGAACAAGGAAGGCACCGTTGAAAGCAATGAAACTGTTCAAAAGCTGTATGATATGACGAATATTTCTGACAAGTCTCTGACCAAGGCTTGTCAGGTGCTTATTTCCAAATTAATAAGCTACCCACCAAGCATGAGAGAGATTAGGTCTGTTCTGCGATGTCATCCCTTGAACATGGAAGAGCCATTCGATTTTATTGCCCACTCGGGTTTGAGTTTTGTAGAGATGGTTTGCATCCACTTGTGAGTATTTTCATGTTTGCACCCTAAACAAAAACAAATAAGCTAACTAAATTCAATAAACACAGTATCAACATGTTTGATAGCCTACAGAACCCAATGCAACAAGCTCAGCTGGAGAGGAACACTGCCTTCCTTACGACAATGCCAGTTCTGCATAGTCTGTTTCTCGATTGTAACGATCTCATCAATATGCAATGGTAAGTATAAACATCAATACATTTATTTCATAAACTCACAAACGACATAGGGTTGAGAAACAGACGCCTTTGAGGGCAATGCAAGGTGGGATGGTGTTGCTTCTATGGCGACCAATTCAAAAGTAATACCGTTATTTGTTGAACTGTCTAGAGAAATCAACTTCAACAATGGGGCTGAAATTGAAGAAGATTGAGGGATTAAAGCTCCCATACCAATTCTATATCAGATATTACGATAAGGTCATTATAAACTATTACATAGTATATAACATAAAACCGGCCAATTAACAAAAATGCATCTTTTTTAGATTTGAAGCTGCACTTCGAATCATTAGCCTACTTGGAAGACTACTTTGTAAAGCGGGCTCACTTTGAGCTTCCATGCCTCACGACATCCAGAAAGTTGAAGCAATTTATACAAAAGACACCGCAGCTGTTTGGATATCGAGAAGCTCTTGAGCAATTAAAATATTGTTCTACATCACAAGTATACGCTCTCTGGCGGTGCTTGAATAAACTGCTTTTACGAAAAAAAAAAAAGGTCTCTCTCGTCTCAACATAATAGAATTTGTTGCAGACTCATCGATATATACTTCCCTTATACCTTTAATGTTGCACATATGGTGCAAATGCTGTGTAGATGTGCTGTATAAATAGCAAAACTCGAATAATTTGGCACAAGGTAAAAAAAATGACCGCCACACATTTGTGGAGGCCAGCCATGGAGAGAATTTTGCCCTGCTAAACTATGAAAGCTGCACACACGAGCTTACTGATATGTACGCACACAAAGCCTTATTATCTCGCATGTAATATTTCCCATCTTTTTTATTTTATTTTTTCGTTTCTATTTTTTATATGTACAAAGAGATTTAGCCAGAGCATGAAGCCTAAGACAAATTGACAGTTGCCGTCGGTGATTAATCTGGCTGCATCTATTTTACCTGTTCTTTTTTAAATAAAAAGAAACCGCTTTTAAACCATCAAACAGCTTAAAAGGTCGGCGGTAGCAGGTGTGGATTAAAAAAGAAAAAAAAAAAAAACAAATAAAAAACGAGATGAGAGATTAAATACTCGATAATAGGTTTTAGCAGTCATGTCAAGACTGAGTTTATTTGTATTGTTAATGCCTCTTTTTTAATTCATCTTTATCTCGATTAACTTGAATGCTCGAAGCATTGAGGCATAAGAAAAGAGAAAAGAGAATGGAGGTAGAGAAAAAAAGGCTGCTGGTGATCTTTAGGTCAAGGGATACCTGTTTAGTATCTTCAGCATCAAGAAAAAAAAAATTTATGTTTAAACTGCCGAAGCGTGACCATTAAAAGACATGGATCGTCTAAAAGAGCTTGTACAAAAGTTTAACAAGAGTGTATATTACTGTCCTGATTTACTCAAATGAATTGTAATTGGCAAGTCATTGTTTATTCAATGTTTCCCTCCTCTTTTAATATATACAAGTGTAAACATTGATTAAACATGCTTATAAAAAAAGAGCCCTCTTTTCTGTTTCTAATCTAGTGTTACATACACTTGCATTTGTTTGTCTTGGATCTACTGGACGCTCTTAGACATCTATTGCTTGCACTACACAAGAACTTTCGAGCTAATTATTCTTATAATGATGATATTGAATTATATTAATAAATATCCAGTTTTTTAAGGAGAAAAAGAGATATGGCAATGATATTCTATAAATGTCGCGTCATTTTATTATTCGACATCATTTTCTGACAATAGCATTCTCGATCGATCATGAAAGGGACGCTGCATTATTAAGCGACTAACCATAGATATATTATCATGTTATTCATACTTTCCTTTGCACGAGGAGGCAGATGATTTTCCCTTGCAAACCACACACACACAAGACAACTGCAAGCTCGTAATTTCGATTCTCCTTCCCCCCTTCTTCTCCTTTTTCTTAACACATTTATACAAAAACAGTACTTGTGTGGCAACTGTATTTAATAAAGCATATACCATTTATTCGAGAGCGCAAAACGAGTGCCCGGAGCTCTTGCACCATCGCATGTCAGCTGCAAAAAGGGAAAAAGTTTATATTTAAAAATATATCATTCATGTCGTACAAATCAAAAATAGGACCTCGATGTCCAGAACTCCGCTTCTGAGAAAGGCAACTCCTTTGTGAAAGAATAAAGAAAGCTTTATTATGGAATCAAAAGAAAAAGTTGTAAAGGGAAGCAATTTTTCTCTATTAAATTAATTTAATTAAATTATGCTGCTATTAAGAAAAAAAAATGTAGAAAATTAAAAGAGGAGGGCGACGGCACCAGCGACACCAGCACCAACGATACCGGCCTTGAGAGATGAAGCACCGCTGGAAGATTTGTCAGAAGAAGTGGAGTTACCGGCAGCAGAAGAAGAAGCAGCAGGAGAACCAGACTTGGAAGCAGCAGCGGAATTGGAAGCATTGGGAGCAGGGGCAGAGGTGGCAGCAGAGGAAGTTACATTGTTGTTGGCTGTACCAGGAGCAGCACCGATAATGGTAAAGTAAGAAGAGTAAGTGGATTGTCCGTTATCACCCTTGAAGACGAGAACATCTGGTGATGGGTAATTAGTTTATATCTATATAATTTTTGTAACCATGGTATATGTAACTTACAGGAAGGATTGGTCTCGACGGTAGCAGGGATGTTCCAGGTGTACTGAGGAGGATTGACTGGAATAGGAGCAGAAAGGATGTTGGCGGTGTAGATCTCTAAGTTGGATGATTGACCCTTCATCAAAGCAATGGAATTGATGTTCTTTGCGTTGTTGTCCTTGACAGTCCTATCGAAAATTATATTAGCCATCAGTTTCATCGTTCAATCTAATTCGCTCTTACCAAGAAATGGTGTAGGATGTACCAGCATTGAGAACTTCCTATTAAATGAGGCATTGAGTTTACCTTGTTTGATGATCTATGTTACTACTTACACCCAAGCCAGGATGAGTGGTGGCAATACCAGCATCGGCAGGAGCAGCGGGAGCAGCAGGAGCGGAAGTTTGAGCACAAACAGCAGAGATAGCAGTGACAAAGATAGCAGCAATAGAGAACTTCATTTTATGATTAAGAAAAGGAAGAAAGACGAAAAAAGAGGAGACACATTTTTAAATCCTTAAAGAACCTTTTTTCTCGAAAAAAATTAATGTGTAACAAGAAGCGCACAAACTGCCTGTGTTCATCATTTGACCAATCAGATACATAGAAATTTAATTCACTCAGAGTCGAACCCCGCCATTCGACCAAATATCACAGACACGAGAAAACATATGTTTTGACCATTACTTGTGTTCCATCTATCTTGTCTTTTTCATAGAGCACATCATAAATCAAAATTCACTAATTTGGATGCAACACTTCATAAAACTGATACTAAATTAACAAATCCAAGACTCAACAGTTCTAAATAGCGTGTAGAATAATGTCTTATCGAAGCTGACCACAGCATGTTTCTATTGACTCTTGTAATAGTTGGTACAATTATTGATGTATGAATCTTTTGTTTATTCTGCTACGATGCTCGAAATGAGTGAGATTGTTCATTGCTAAGAAGAAGACACTCATAACAAAGCTTGGTACAGAAAACATCTTTAGTGAGGCAAGAAAGCAATCTAAAATGATCATCATTTTACTGTACAACTTCATCAGACTTATATTTCTTTTTTATTATGGTGTGTTGTTACCGAGTTTTCTATACCGACACTGAAGAATATTCTATCCCATTTTATCCTGTTTGTGACGTAGAAGTCATTCTCTAGGCAGTTTAGATCAATGATGCCATCTGTGAAGGAATTTTTGTTGACAACAAATATACTTGTTGAACTTTTCACGCATTACTGTCTTTAGAGGATTTGTTGGGTGATTCTGTCAGATCGAGTCTTTAGATACATACTTAAATGACGCGTCATAATGCACGATGATACTAGGGCTATGTAGAAGCTTAAACTTTGTAAATAGTAATTCTTCATGATAAAAGGAACATTTTCAAATACGCAAAAGATAGTAATATCATGAAATCTTAAAGTAAAGCAAAGGATTGACGATATACTTTATCCTTTTTGTCAAGAAATATCTAGTTTCATTTTAAAAATTTCATCTACAACATCTCAAAGTGGTACTTTTTAAACCAAAAGAATAAGCTACCATTCAATCTAAATTAGGTAGTAAAAAGGCAGCGGCAAGATCAATTCAACAGGATAATTAAAAAGGAATACTGAAGCAAGATAAATATCAACACAAGAAGTTAAAATGTGCTCGTCGTGATCGGAGGCAGTGTTTCTATGGTGTTACAGCCGATCAGATCAAAGTTGCACGTCAACTTGGAGCGTTGCTAGCAACACTTTTGAAGATTATTATTGACAGAAGCTATTTCATATCCTGTGTGTAGTTTTGTTGCGGTAGTTAAGAAAACAATAGTACAGTATATCAAAAAATAGCAACGAGTTTAGATTCACTAGCCCCATGTACCAATTCTATTATCAATTACTTGATCATGTACAAGAAGTGTAAATAGAGAGAAAGGCGGTTTACTATCACTGTTGACAGGCAAGTAAATCGACAATTGGATTTTCAATAACCGACAACTACGTTTCGACAATCGACAGTTGTTTTTATAAACCGACAAAATCCACTGGCCTGATTGTACAACCCGCAGTGGTCAATGTTGGCTGAAGTAAAGACTGAGGATGAATGGTTACCTAACACAGGTGCACCAAACAATGATACCTGACAGGTTATTTATATTTGTCATCATTCTTCTAAACACATTTCATGCACGGCTTGAAAAGATACAAGAAAGGAGCGATCATAAAAAATTTTAATTTACTGTGTTTCTGAGAATAAAGCGCGGTTAGAAAGACTTGTCCACATCCTTGGTTTCTCACCACATAGCCCATTATTATAGCATGTAATGTCTAGTTTCAGTATCTGATTAATGTTATTCATAGCACAGAAATATTCAAAACAAGGTCTTGCAATCGTCTAATTTAGGTTAAGGGACTGCACTGTACTGCTGTGATATAAAAAAGAAAGAAGAAAAAAAAAAACAAGTAACGCCATTACTCCGCTCACGCACACTTACACACCCATTTACATAAACAAATCGTCCTATTTTCTACCCTTTGTACTTTTTTTTCCCTTAATCATGTCTTCGCCTATTCAACCTCCTCCAAATATACGGTAAATGATGATATGTAAGCTAAAGACGGTCTAGCTAAACTTGTCTATTAGGTCTCCTTCGGGTACTTCTCAGACAACAGCAGCAGCAACCTCTGTAGGAGCAACGGCAACAGCAGCAGTGGTATCTCCATATGCTCATCATCTCCCACCTCCCAATTTACCACCTGCTAATACAGCAACTGCAAACGGAGCTTTGCCTCCACCACCCAGGGTAACAGAATTACCTTCTATTCTCTCTCCTCCGCACGGCGCTTCACCTTCGGCATTTAGTAATTCAGCACAACAGCAATCTCAAGTACAACAACCACACACAACTCTACCACCACCTAGTTCACTTGCGTCAGAATCTACCGTCCTACCTTTACCACCACCATTAATCCCATCGCGTACATCAACCCCTCCTTTCACAGAACGTAGACCTAGTATTGCCCGTACCCCAGCTAATCCACCTCCCCCTCCACCTTCTCAACCGGCAGCACCCCCAGCAACACAACAACAACAGCAACAAGCAAGCTCTCCTCAAAGTGGAGGATATAGGCCACTGAACGTGCGAGACGCATTGACCTATCTTGATCAAGTCAAGGTGCGATTTTCTGACCAGCCGGATGTTTATAACCGATTCTTGGATATCATGAAAGATTTTAAGAGCCAAACGTAGGTTTTAATAATGAAATGATTTCATAATAGACCGACTAAAAAAAAAGCTTGCTGTAGCATTGATACGCCAGGCGTGATTGAACGCGTCTCTGCACTATTCAAAGGCCACCCAACACTCATTTCTGGTTTCAATACGTTTTTACCACCAGGTTATCGCATCGAGTGTTCTACGGATCCTCGTGAGCCTGATCTGATTACAGTCACAACACCCAGCGGCGTTACAACGACAACAGGGCGACGATTGCCAGATCAAGAGCATCATTTCCCCCATGCACATCATCCTCACGTTCCTCCACCACAGGCTTATTATCCTTATAGTCAGATGCATCATCCATTACCTGTACCTCCTCCCAATACAGCCGTCCCACCACAAAATTTGATGCCTCCTTATCGTTCAGCCGTTATGCCACCACCACCGACAGTGCCTCCCATACCGCATCACCATCAACAGCAGCAGTCATTACCTCCACAACAACAACAAACTATGCCATCGCAGCCAATGATGGTTCCTCCACGTCACGCGAGTCCTTCACGACAATCTGTTGTAGATGATGACGAATCACCTCTGGAATTCAATCATGCAATCAACTATGTCAACAGAATCAAGGTATACCCCCTCCTTTTAAAAGGAATCATGGTTTACTTATATTTCTTTGTAGACTCGATTTGCACATGATCCAGATACTTATAAACAATTCTTGGAAATTCTTCAAACGTATCAAAAGGACAATCGACCTATTCAAGAAGTAAGATATTTTTTAAAAAAGGAACAAGTATTCATGTTTCTAGGTCTATGCTCATGTTCAATATCTGTTCAATGGTGCACCTGACCTATTAGACGAGTTCAAACAATTTTTGCCTGATTTCACAGGACAATCAGCAGGCAGTCTATTTGACTCAATATCACACAGTGGGTCTAAACGAAGTGTTGGCACAGGTGGTTCAGTATCTCAAAGTATGCTTCCACCCGGTAAAAAGAAGCGAACGAATAATGTAAGGCGAAAGAAAAAAGAAAATAGAAAAAGCAAGGTATTGAAGCCTTCTTTATAGATGATCAAGAGGCCTAAATACAAGTCAGACGTAGACCCATTTAGCTTTTCGAATTTTGATCCCGCAAGGCCATCCGTGTCAACAGAAGAGATTGAGTTATTTGAACGTATACGTAAGCACATTGGTAACAAACCATCCTATGAAGAGTTCCTCAAGACCTTAAACTTGTACACACAACAAATTGTGGATATGGATACACTGGTCGATCAGGTGTCTATTTTTATTGGTAACAATCAAGAACTGTTTGAATGGTTCAAGAATATGATTGGATACGAGCCGAGAGAGAAGCCTATTGAAAAGCCGACGACAATCATACCCAAACCAGACCTGAATCTTTGCAAGACGACAGGAAATCCCCATGAGAGTCCTAGTTATCGTATCGTACCCAAGGAATGGCAGAATCAACCATGCTCAGGTCGTGATCAGCTATGTTGGGAGGTGCTGAATGATGAGTATGTGTCGCACCCTATCTGGGCAAGTGAGGAGGACGGATTTGTGGCGAGTAAGAAGAGTCAGTACGAAGAAGCAATGCATCGTTGTGAAGAAGAGCGATATGATTATAATATGAACATTGACGCCAATTTGAATGTGATTGCGTTATTAGAGCCCATTGCTCACAAGATTGAACAGATGACGCCAGAAGAAAAAAATAACTTTAAGCTGAAGCCAGGATTGGGAGGTCAATCAGTCAGTATATATGAAAGGATCATCAAGAAGATATATGATAAAGAAAGAGGAAGCGAGATCATCGAGTTACTCTATTCTAATCCAGCGCAGGTGGTGCCTATCTTACTAAAGAGGTTGAAGCAAAAGGACGAAGAGTGGAAGCGAGCACAACGAGAATGGAATAAAATATGGAGAGAGCAGGACGCAAAGAACTTTTATAGATCACTAGATTATCAAGGCATTACGTTCAAAAGTAATGATAGGAAGGCAATGGCGCCAAAATCCTTGGTCAATGAAATCGAAAGTCTGTTTCAAAAGAACAGCAGTAAAAAGAAGAACAACAGCGACTGTCAATTCAAATTTGAATTCAAGGATCAGGGCGTGTTCAAGGATTGTACAAGAATCATTTATTCATTTATTGACAGACAGTCTGGTTATACAAACAGCGACAGAGAAAAGATACGCCTGTTTATCGAATCGTTCATCCCTCTTTGCTTTCAAGTCGACAGTTCCATTATTTATGAGCATACTGTGGATGATAACCAGGATGAAGATGAAGACGGTGATAATGACGATGATCAAGCCAGTGTGAACACAACTGACTCTGTTGACAAATCAAGGAAATCGTCTACTCCTACCAAAAAGGCAGAGGATGACCATACCATCGAATCCTTACGTGAAATTCTGACACAGGCTGTAGCAAGCCGTAGCACAAACCTATTAGACGCTGCAGCTGTAGCTATTGCTCCTGATCAGACAAAGAGAAGCTTTTATACATTCTTTTGTAACACGGCCTTTTACTGCTTCTTCAGGCTATATCAAATGCTTTATGAAAGATTAGACAGACTAAAAGCTATGGATGATACGATGCGAAAGAATCCTAGTATGGGTAAACGTGTGAATAAAGTAGCTCTTGACCTTGGATTATATAGTACGCGTTACGATGGTAAGAATGTTTATATATTATGACAGTATTCTTATTTTTTTTTTTTTTTTTTTTTTTTGTAGACATTGATCTCTCCAAAGGTTACTATCAAGCTATCTTGGAATTGATTGATAAGTTCTTTGATGGTGATATTGATCAAACACTATTTGAAGAATATACTCGTTATGTCTTTGTGACTGACGCGTATCTGCTGTTTACAATTGACAAGTTAGTTCATACAATGATTAAGCAGGTAAAAAAAAAGAAGAAAGGAGCTTTTTTGATGGTAATCTAATCCATTGACAATAGATACAAACTATTATTACTGACTCAAAATCTCTTGAATTGATTCGATTATTCAAATGGGACAAAGGACTGGAATCTATGTCACCTAGATCATTAGCTATTTATCGTTTAAGGGCTGAAGATATTGCTGGTTCATCAGATAACCTGTTTAAAATTAATTTTGTAAGAAAGATATGTGTGTACAATACAATGTTATACTTAAATTCAATAGAATAATGAATCTCAATACATAACTATTCAATTAATTGGTAAAGATGACTACATGATGGAGCCAACAGCCGAAGACAAGTATGAGGATTATGTTGCAAGCTATATGGACTGGCTTAATGTAACTGATGGTATTGATCTTTCCAAGACAAAGAAATCATTTTTGCGCCGGTAAATGACAATACTATATTTGGCATTTTGCATCTAACTCCTTAAAAGAAATTTGAGACCACAGGATGAACACTTGAATAGAATCTTCGTGCGATCTAAACTTCAATACAAGATTGATCAAAGTAGCTACCACATGTATTATATCGTTGGCTCAGAAGATGTCTTTATTCGCCCTCAACCAAAGAAAGAAAGAGAACGAGCATCCAATTGGGAAAAATGGCTATCATCTCCTACCACAGGTTGGTCAAAAGGCTTAGATGAAGAAACACGTACTCTGATGGAAAGAGAAGCAAAAGTTTTATTTAAACAATAAAGTGAGAAATCATTAAAAAAGAGAGATTAGTATTAGTATACATGTAAACATTATTTCTTCCATTTGCTAAAGATTTTAATGATGGCTGCTTTTACAACATTGGCTGCCTTGTCATTTTCCTTTTTACTAAGTCCTATTGTCGTGTGAATTTTGATGCTTGGCTTGGGACATTTCAATTCTTGATCATAGACGTATTTGGCTCTTGTCACCAGTACGCCTTGTGCGGCGCATTCATCAACAACATCCTGTAACAATCTTTCTTCTGTTTCTCTGCTTGTTTGAGGAGGAAGGAAGGTGTCCTTGATACGGATATGGAAGAAAGGTGAAGGGCATTGCGTATCAGATGATTCCAAATAGATGTAAGGTTCTAGTGATTTATGCAAGAGTATCTGGCGGAAAGAGGAGACTCTTTCCTGTAATTCATCAAGAAGTGTGGGCTGTTGGCTGATAATACGGAACGCTTCGGATGCAGACACAGCAAGCATAGCAGGCATGGAGGCTGAAAAACAGTAAGCGAGACCTGACAGGCGTTGATGGTCAATCACTTCGACACTGCCAGCACAGAAACCACCTGAACCACAAAGAGCGTTGGCTAATGAACCAACGATCATGTCAATCTCTTTAGCCTATGATAGCAATGAGTCCCTTTGTTTTCATCATGTTTTTGTTGCTTACATCAATGTTGTACAAATCGGTTAAACCTGCCCCGCGCTTGCCTAGAACACCAATCGATTGGGACTCGTCCAATATCAATCTGTACTTGAATTTCTTTTTGATTTCAACCTAAAGAGGGGTTATTTACAAGGAAAACCCATGATCCAAACTTACCAATTTATCCAAGGGAGCAATGTCACCAAAATTGGCGAAAAGGCCTTCAGTGACAATGAAGCGACGAGTTAAGCGTTTCTTATGCTACACATGATATAAGATACATGTTTTTTAAGGGTATATATTTATATACTTACCTTGATATGTTCAGCTTGAATTTCATTCAATACTCTTTCTAAATCTTCCATGTCATTATGTTTATAGAAGCGAACGATAGAACGTGAGATTTGAACACCTTTCTGAACGGCAAAACATACACCATCATCTCTATTAAAAGGTTAATTTCTATAAATGAAAAAGTATGTGTCAGCTTACACAACCAGATAATCACCGCGCTTAGCAAATGCTGGGATGACAGAAGAGATGGTAGAGAAACCTTGAGCGTAAATGATGGTATCATCAGTTCCGATAAAGCGAGCGATATCACGTTCCAACTCCATATGAACATCAATGGTACCATAGAAACCTGGAGGACCACAAGAACCAACACCATAATTTCTTAAAGTGTCTACTGCCTTTGTACGAATTTGTTCGGAAGCAGTTAAATTTAAAAAGTTTGAAGTAGCTAAGTTCATCAAGGACTTGGCATGTCCAACGACTTTAGCTTTAGCAGATTGAGGTCCGGTGAGAACAGGTATTTTTTCGAGATTGAAGCGATCATAAGAAGACAGTTTAGGTGCTAATGGCTCTGGCTGCCATTCTTCAACAAGGTCGTCAATTTCCTAATAATTTTAAATAAGCTTTTACAGACAAATATATGTGTGCTTTTTACTTTTTCGGTTAAAATGACATTATTATCATTGGGCTTATATTTTCTTGAAAGCATATACTTGATGGCAAAAAACACTAGGAACAGTTCGAGGGCCACACGAAATGGATCGTTTTGGTAAGCATTCTTTAAATATGATATAGCTAAATTAGAGCCAGGAATAGATATTATAAGCTCAAGTAGATGACTGATGGTCGAATTCATGAACAGGGCAAGATCTTGCACCACCTGTTCATTAGACATCTTTTATAAAATAAAAGAAAGAAAGAAAAAAAGGGCGTCCAAATACAGAAACACAGCCATTTTAAGTGTTACACTTTAATTTTATCCAATCACAGATTATAGTTCCTTCTCTTTATACTTCATCAATCGATCGTATATGTTAAGAGAGACAAGTTGCGATGGACATTTCGATCGGATATCTTAAGGGGAGGAAAGAAAGGGGAAAAGCAATATAATAAGGTCTGATGACTATTTCCTTTTCAGAAAATAAACTATTAAAAGAAGACAGAATGGTGGTTCCATGATAACATCGATGCTTTTTTAATTGATCCTTATAGGGTTTACTTGCCTTTTTGTATTATACTTGGTTGCCTGGACACTTCCCTTTAACGTGACAATGACGCTGATCCTGTTTTACATAAAGAGACACTTGATTGGATATAATTAAAAGAAAATAGACATTGTTTCTTTTCTTTTTCTTTTTCTTTTTCTTGCCTCATAAACTAACAGAATATATGGTCGACAGTGTAAACATAAGCAAAGTCATTCTAATCAAGCATTAACCCTCTCTTTTATATAGTCGACCTCACATGGAGTAACCAATTTCTTAACGAGAAGACATTCCACTGGAGATGGAAATCTTTCGAATACGTTCATTCTTCCTTCATACCCACCAAGCACACCAGGTCATGACTGTCGAGAGTTCAATGCTCCCGAGGGAACTTATTCGTTAGCACACTCTATTTTCATTAGTTCTCTACAACCACTTTACACAGTAGGAACTTCAGCCAGTCTAGTGTCTATAAAATACAAAGAATCAACAACCAACCTTCAACGCTATGAAGCACAGCCTGGTGCAATGAACTTTAGGCGCATGTTTTCAAGTAGTAGTAGTAGCAGTAATGGTCATAATATTCATTCTACATCCAATAATACTGACTCAGACGACGAACAGCATGTATTTGGCACAACACCTTCCAGTTCTTCTTCAAGCTGCAATAACAACCATACGAGTAAACATCACATCATGCCTATCCCAGAAGATGAGACGAGTTCAACTACAAAACTATCATTTCTAAGCAGGAATCATAGTCGACAGCATCATTCAAGGAAACCAAAGACAAGTATCACAAAAACAAATTCGAGCTTTGTACAAAAAATCATAACAAACGATCAACTTGCCAAAATATTGATGTCAAGGACAAGTGATGATACCAACTTATTTTATAATTGTGGCACTAGTTTTATTTGGATGGATGCATCAGGGAATCCAAAGGTAGAATAAAAAAGTGGATCAATCATTAGTAATACTCACTCTTCTTTCTTTAGGAACCCTTATCCAGAACTGTATTCACAAGAGCATGTCCAACTTCACATGATGTTAATTTACTGACCAGAGCAGCAGATCAACTAGACCTCATCATCGGCTTTACTTCTGGAGACATTATCTGGTTTGATCCGCTGTGTAATAAATATGGAAGAATCAATAAAGGCGTAAAGTACATGGACATAATCACATTTGTCATGAACTCATTGTTCAGTATTAGGGCATTATGAACTCAACATCCATCACCATGATTAAATGGCTACAAGGTTATGATAATCTATTCATGGCTTCCTTTCAAGATGGAAGTATTATGATCTTTGACAAAGATAAAGAAGATGAACTATTTCATCCAGATCCTATTCCAAATGTAAAAGATAAAAAACTATTCAAGATTTCAAAACATCCTCCAAAGATCGCATCCAAGTGCAATCCAGTCTCACATTGGAAGCTATCAAATCAATCTATCACTGGTATGTCCTGCTTTCATTATTTGATCCCGTCTAACACTGTTTTTTTTTCTTAGCCTTTGCATTTTCTCCAGATTGTCAACATGTTGCTATTGTGGGCCTTGATGGTTTACTACGTATAGTCAATATACTGCATGAAAGTTTAAATGATGTTTATGAATCTTATTATGGTGGTCTCTTTTGTGTGGCATGGAGTCCAGATGGAAGATACATCATCGTAAGTCGCACCCTTGCTTATAGCTCAAGTAATGACTTCTCACATAAAATAGACGGGTGGACAAGATGACCTTGTTACTATATGGGCATTTAAAGAGCAAAGAATCATTGCAAGATGTCAAGGACACCACTCTTGGGTAAAATTTTTATTTTGTATGCTATTTTCTCATAGACTAACTGTAACATGACAGGTGAGGGGCGTCGCATTCGATCCCTGGAGATGTGATGAAAAGGTATATCGTTTTGCTAGTGTAGGAGAGGACGCAAAGTTGATCTTGTGGGACTTTTCTGTCAGTGCACTGCATAAACCAAAAACGGTAAAATAAATCACGTGCATCACTTTAAATACTCATCATCCCTTATATTAGAAAGCAGGAAATAGGAACAGAGGCACATCCGTTTCTTCTGTCAATTCCCCTCCATTATCAAGTATCCTAGCTACCATTCAAGATAAAGGACCCGTCATTCATCCTGTACTTTCAAAGACTGAGGTTGCCTTTTTACAGCCTACGGTGATCAGAACGATTCATAGTGATCCATGTGTGGGCATTTACTTTAGAGAGGATGCTATTGTGACAACGGATAAAAGAGGAAGAATAAACATTTGGCAAAGACCACGTCAGTAGTGGTAGTAGTAGTAGTAGTAATAAATTAATGCTTGGCTTTATTTATTACACAAATCAAATGGGTGTCTTTAAAGGATGAGTTAATAAAGGTGCTTCATGATTATGTTTGACGAATTGCTTTAACCGCTGTGATATCACATCCTTTGTCACAGGTTTACTGAGGATATCATCAAAGGCACCTGCAAGCTGTACAGTTCGTTCATAAGCTGTAACTGCAATAATGGGGGTATCTCTGTTATTGTTATTCGTTGATTTTATCATTCTTGCCGCCGTTTCGCCATCAATAATGGGCATACGAATATCCATAAAGATGATGTCATATCGAACATCACTCATTGCAGTTCGAATAGCTTGTGCTCCATTTCGAACAATCACGCATCGGCAATGAAGAGTCTGAAGGATAGTCTCGATGATCTTACAGCTGATAGGGTTATCGTCAGCTATAAGACAGGCAAGAGGTCTACTTCTTGTTGCAGGTTCTGACTTTGGTTTCGTAAGTGAATTGCTACTACTGTTGACAGAGGGCTTTATGTCTGCTCTTCCCAAAGGTGAATGACTGTCTTCTTGAGCGGAATGACGAAGATGATGATCATGCTTCTGGCTTGTTCGAGGTCCAGGGGAGCTATTGCTTACGGATACAGTCGTTTTACTATGGTCAATGGAAGGGGTGGAAGCAGACCGTGTTCTCTGATGATGAGGGGTATTCTTGGTGCTCTTTTCTGACATCTTTGTGGGTATATGAGGCGCAGTAAAATCGCCACGCCGAGCAGACACGCCTGGAGCCTTGGATGAATTCGATGGCGACACAGACAGTGGGGTGGCAACGATAGAAGAAGTAAAGGAAGATGTACCTGTTTGTTGCACTGAACAGCTGTCATTCAGTGGACTAGCGTTCTTGTTTCTACTAGGAGAAAATTTGCGTTTAGAAGGAAGCGACCCAGCTGAATCACTGTTTATGGATATGCTATCGTTCCTAATCTTTCGAATCATATCTTCATTTGCCTTTTCCAAAACTGGTAAATTCTTATACATAAATGTTCCAAAATCGGTATTGTCAGAGTCATTGCCGTCTGTGCTTTCCTTTTTACTTTTCTTTGCGTAGGCTGTCTTGCCGTGCTTGTCAGCGAGGGGTATCACATTTTCAGGATTTTGTTCTCGAATAATGGCTTTTGCACGCTCAACCTGAGCCTTGGCCGATTCATCTAGTTGTTCATCTGAAGTAGCTTCAATTGGTATATTCATTGTCGCTCCACGAGCATCAAAGTAATCAGTGTCTTCCATACCAGCAGGTTGTGGGATGAACGAAGGGGACTCAGTTAAGAGTGTATCCCAATTGATGCTTTTGAAGAACGGATGTTGTTTGACCTCTTCGGCTCCATGATATCCTAGCCGTTTGGTCGGATCTAGCGTCATTAGACGTTCCATAAAATCTCTTGCTTCAGATGATATTTCAATCATGTCTTCATGCCAGTCAATACGTCGTGAAAGTATATTCTCAAACACTTTGTCTGGTGTTTCAGCATGGAAGGGTGGAATACCATACAAAAACTCATAACAAATGACACCAAGAGCCCACTAAGGATAGAGTATTAGTCTCTTTTATACTGCAGTTTGATATCTACTTACCCAATCTACCATAGAGTCTTGACCTGTACCCAGGATACTTTCTGGAGCCAAGTAGTCAGGAGTACCAACAGCTTGGCGTGGTATGGCACTAGTCCTTTCTTTGCTTCCTTTCTCAGATTTCTTAAGATTAGATGAGGTCAAGGATTCTGATAGTGCGGATGACAGATGCCGACGATGGTTGCGCGATTCAGGAGAGGCTTGGTTCAGAATATTTTCATTAGCTGTCGAATTGATCGCAGAAGGAGTACTCGTTCCAGAACTAGGGTGACCCTGGTCGAACAATAAGCTAAAATAAGAATGCTTGTAAACTGTGCCTGTTGGTGTTGTAGGTTGTTCTGCTGGTGACTGAGGAGGCGTTCCCGAACGAGATGGTGCAGGAGACGTAGGCTGCTCACGGTCATGATAGGATGTCGTTGTCAGTTCATCTCTCACCCGACGATCGAGAAAACCAATTCTTGATAGACCAAAATCCGTCAACTTGAGATGACCATTTTGATCAATGAGTAAATTATCAGGCTTTAAATCACTAAAAGCGCATACAGAAAGGTCAGATAACATGTGTGTAATTTAATGTATATCATTTACCGATGAATAATATTCTTGCTCTGTAGATATTCCAAGCCGAGTGTGACTTCAGCCAAATAATTACGAGCCCAATCTTCGGGTAAACTGCCGAGTGCCTTTATAAGAGCTGAACAATCACCGCCGTTTAGGTATTCTAGCACGAGGTAGAGGTAGTCTTTGGATTGAAATGTATAGTACAGTTTTGTGACAAAGGGACTGTCTGTCTGTGACATCAGTATCATTCTTTCAGCCTTCACGTTTGTTACTTGATTCTTGGCGATCATGTCTGATTTCTTTAAAAATTTAATAGCGTAGTAATCACCTGTAGTTCGCTTTTTGGCCAAGAAGACTGAACCAAAAGCGCCTTTACTGATGGGTTTAATAATGTCAAAGTCCTTGATACTAGGGAATGTCGGTCGAGAAACAACCGGTGCATGGAGTGGTGACAACGGTGACTTTCCTGGCACGACGCCTGACTGGTTGCTGTTGGGCGTGTTGGAGCCAGACGAAAGGTGCCCTTTACTGTTGACAGTTGTATTCTTTGGACGAAGAGCAGGTGAACCAATAGGCGTTTCAATAGTTTCCATTTCGACAATAGGAGTGCTTGTTGCATCGGGCGTTAGAGATTTGAGTCGCCGTGATAGACGCTCGATCACTCCAGAGGATCGTCGCCGTCTCCAGGACTTGATACGATCAAATAATCCTCTTTTACCGAGCATGTTCTGTTCCTTCTCACTTCCCTTTTTCTCTTCCACTTCTTGCTGTTTATGAGATTCAAGCCTGGTCTCACTTAGACTTTCACCCGACTTATGCTCTTCGGTTGAACCTGGGACAAATTCTGTCCAGTTAGGTTGCTGCTGTGTATTCTTTTGGAACTCTGCTCTTGCACGCAAGTTATATTCTAGTCGATCACGCATACGATTGACAGCATCCACTTTGCTCTTTGCCAAATCTTCGGCATCCTTGACGAGAACAGATAAAGTAGGGTCGTTGGTAGTTGGCGGACGCCAATAGAGGATCTGAACCATTTTATCTTTGGATCTCGGGGACTGTAAGTTTCTTTCACCCTCGTTCATCGTCCCTTCCTCTTCAATCATATCATCAGCTGAGCCGGGCATGGATATACTGAGAGCAATCTCGAGTATATCTAACAAATCCTTATATATATCAAGTTCAGCCATTTTCAACTCTTGTGGGTCAATTGCTTCATCAAGCGGTAAAAAGTCGCCAAAGATCGAATCGCTGTCTTCGTCGTCGGATTCTGCTTGATGTTGTTGCTCGATATTAGGCGTATCTCCTTTCTTTAGTGTTTCAAGCTCCATTTTTGCTTGCTCAATTCTTTCGTTGATGACATGCTTGAGTTCCAAAATACCATCGTTACAAGCGTTCACGTCCATCTCACTCTGATGAATTTCTACGCAAAGTTCAGAATGCTGCTCAAAGAACGCAGCTACGACCCATCTTTCACAAACACGACAAAGAACAGGCGGCAGGGTCAAGAGTTTAGAAAGCGATACGCCTTGGTCTTGATCATGTGGCTCCATCAAGGTATCTTCTCCAGAGCCTTGTAATTCCTGAGGCATATGAATAAACGGCTCTGATTTTGATCGACTTCTCATCATTGCTTTTTGTTCCTCTACATCAATCTGGTCGCTTACTGTCTCATCCGGCGTGAAATTAGCATCAGTAGCTACTTCTTTCTCCTTGGCAGAGGAAGAACCTAACAAAAGGTGCTTTTCAAGAGTATGTGGCGTAAAGGAGATATCAGCTAGTGACCAGCGACGAGGTATAACTGGCTTCATGACCCACATGGTATGACTTGGTTCACTGGTCACTCTGTTGTACATGAGCATACCTTTACCTTCCATCTCAATGTATGAGCTATCAGAGGCAACAACGTTGAAGCGCACTTCGATCGTATGAGAGTCATCCGTCAGTAGCTCTTGAGTTGCTACGCCAAATACCTGTTTATCCTCTGCTGACAATAGTTCAGTAATACTTTTGCCAATAACCATCTGAGGATCAGTTCTAGATTTTTTTTTTGGAAGGAGGCTTAGCTTCAAGTGTCAATATCATAGTAGCATATCCTTACCCGACAACATCCATCCAGACTGGACTGACATATTGAATGGAGGTATTACCCAAACTTAATTCAACAATAATAGTAGAGCTTTGACTTCTTTCGGCCTCTGCTTGAAGCTGCATATCGTCCAATGTCTCATCCTTAGTAATATCCTTTTCATGATTCTTTACAACCTGCTGTTGTTCGTCAATAGACATATCATTATCCTCTGCGTCGTCCATCTTTGACAGATTACTCACAGATTCCACATCATCTGTCTCTGTATCGCTTGGAGGAACCGAAGATGCTGTTGTCATCGTACCAGTTGCTGACCAGAATCCTCTCTCAGCAGCCCACCACTCGACAACGCGATTAAGTGCAGCAATGCTGAGTAACAATCGTACGTACCATTCTCGACAGGGCCACTCTGGGTGTGTATCCCATCGAAAGCCAATGGCCTGAAGCTTAGACACAGCTTCCGCACATGCACCGCTTGTTTCAAGTATCTCATCTAGCGATGTGTCCATCACGCTTTGTGCCAGAGTAATCAAGTCTTGTAACGTCAGCATAAATGGTGTAGGTAAATAAGAATCTTCAGAGATAAAGGTCACCATTTGGTTTGCACTGGGTGAGCTCAAGTGGTCGTTTACTTTTTTCATCACAGCCTCTTGTACAGTTTGAGCAGAATTATCAAATTGTTTATGAGACGGGGGACCCTCTGGAGGTGTGGATTGTCCTTCAAGTGCAGACGAGAGGCTCCTCTTATGTGGCAAGCTGTTAATAGAAGATGCCGAATGGTCTCTGGAAGGAATTCCGGGTGACGAAACTTCGTCGAGTTCCACAACACTTGGTAAGGGTGATTTGAATGCCTCTACCGTAGAAGCTTCAGCTAGCGTGTGTTCAGCCATTGGTTCCTCTTCGTCTGTGTCAATGCTATCGACCGAACGAACCCCTTTTTCTAAAATCTCATCCATATTTTCAACATATTGCAACCCTCGCTCGACGTATTCATTCAGTCCATCAATAATCTGTCGCAGTTCGGCATTACATGCCTCTTTAGCAAATTGAAGCCTGGACTTGATCGATTGTTGCACCTGGACCATAATATTTAGATCCGAATCGTCGTGATGGTGTATCGAACTTAGCATATGACTAAGGTGACCAAACGTACCCATTCTGTTTCCAGGATTGAAGAATCTGTATCCAACTCGTTTTGCTAAGCTTGTCTGAGTCACTGGATTCTTTGGTGTCTTGACCTTTCTTGCAAACGAGTGAGGGCTACCGGAACCAGAAGACTGTGTGACGCTCTCAGGGTGTATGGAAAGGGGTGATATCATGTCAATATCGGTTTGTTCTTTGGTTGTCGTCTCTGCAGAAGAATCCATACCCAACGGCTTTACCTCTCCTTCCAATGGATGCTGTAAATCTTGTAGGTTCAGAGATAGGTTACGCGAGCTTCTATTTGAAGAGATGTGCGTTTTGTTATCGTCTGGTCCTTGTGCTTGTTTCGATGATTCTAATGTCTTGCATACAGGAAGTGGAGCTTCTGGCGATTGAAGATCTTTTCTAGCGGGTTGCTCTTTTTCTTCTTCTGCGCTCTTATGCAGAGGTAATGCAAGGCTCTTTGCCCATTGCTTCTGATTCCTTGATTTCGAATAATGCTCAGCACCTGTTTTAACCGTATTCCACCAGTTTGATAATACTCGATTCACTACAGAGTCATGGTGACTAGGGCTAGCAATAGATGATGCTGATGATGACGGGAGTTGTGAGGTGTCTATACTTTCTTGCTGTACTGATGACCTACGTCGAATCTCCTGTGCTTTAATAATGTTGTACTCTTCCAACCAGTCAACCCAAGGGATATTGCTTACAAGTCGATGACAATCTACCTCCTTATCTCGGTTCAGTATATCATCAGCCGTTGTCACTGTGATTGTAGGCATGTGAGAATCATCTTGAGTGAAACGCTTAAGCTTTGCTGATGAGTAGCGTCTGTTCTGTGCTGGCATGCTGCTCGTACTTCCTGTGCTGTTGGTTCGACGGTGACCAGATTGCATATGCAGTTTATCCTCCAGCCCTTGAACACGTACGCTGCACCATTTTCTGATCTTTGCAGAACGTGACATGAATAACTTTTTAGCATAATCTTCGTCAGAGCCAATGACTGGATTATCAAATTCGTTAAATGAAGATGAGGTTAGCATGGATCGTAAATGAGCCGGTCGTGTGCCTTTATCATGCTTTATAATTGCTATTTATACTCATTCAGTATATATATATAAAGCAATCCATTTTTTTTTCTTACTTCTCGAACAAGGACTAGATGGTATCCTGTTGCTTGTAAAATAATCTTCTTCGTTCCAATAGGCAACGTCGGGTGCTGAAGTACGAGTTGTAGTAATGCTTGGAGTAGGTGGTATAATGAGCTGTTCTTGAAGATGTGCATCTTGTTTAGCATATGCTTCGTTTAAGAGCATAGATGGATAGACAGGAGAATCCTGTGCTTGATGTTCAGTAAACTGCATACTACCTTCGTGATTGGATTGTACGTCTGCATCCAAATCCATTTCGATCACATCCTTATCTGCCTCTTGATGTCGACTATCTATATTTGGTAAAGAGCGACGATCCCTAATTGACCTTCTTTTGCCAGTAAGCTGTTTTCGTAAAAGAGACTGAAGTGAATGCTGATAAGCACTTTCAGACGTAGGCAATGCATAGATGGGCGGGTCTGGAAGATTTTCATCCTGAGGTGGGTCGACGATAGATAGCGGGTGCTGTACATTACTGATAAAGTCGCTAGGAGGTGTTTCTAAAATTGGATTCGGAGAATTGCCACTGACTATATCTGCAAGTTCAGAACTAGGAATATTTCGCAGCATGCTCATGGAGGATCGACGTTTTGATTTAGTTGTCATGGGCGCATAGGGTGTATGAGGAGTTGAATGGGAAATGAAGACATTGGTGGTAGATGGAGATACAGAAGTCGATCGTGGACCATGGCTACTAGGAGCTTTCATTCGATCTATTTTAATGGATGAAAAATCTGATTGTATATATGCATTCATGTCCTTACGAGGTGATGGAGCTGGCGAATGACAATCTTCGCTTGTAAGCGTAGAGTCTGTGATGATGGATGAGATGGATGGCTTACGTTCATGAGTTGATTTTTTGACAGGAGACACTTGCATGTTGCTGTCAATGCCATATGCTAATTCTTCCAATTCAGTATCTACTGATAGCTTTTTCTTATTAAATATGAGTGAACTGTCAGTGGTTGAAGAAGAGGCTGATGGAGGTGTTTCGACTGATGAACCTTCTTGTCTTGAATGCTGTAACAGCTGCCTATCTTCTCTTAGCTTGGATAGAGAGCCGGATTTTAATGAACAAGATTCTGGTGGATGCGGAGGTGGTGTTGATGTTGCGGCTATAGGGGCGGATGATGGATGTGTATTCAACTGTTTCTGTGTAAAACTCAATGGTGGAATCAATGGTTTCGTTGGTTGAATAGCTGGGGTATTAGGCATTGAGTCATGTTGGACGATAGAAGATGAAGCATCTATCCAGCTCGCTCTCTTTGATCTTACCATGTATTTGCCCCCACTACCAGCTGGAGGGCTAGAAAACCTTGGCGAGAAGGACATGGATGTGGGAGGAGGGGAGCGAGTGATGTGTGAATGAAGGGTATCGTGTTCGCTTCCAGGACTACTACTGTATTCAATATCTGCCAAAAATGATCTTCGATGTATATCTCCTGAGGTAGAAAGTATAGAATTGGTAGGTGAAGTCGAACAATTGGTGGTATTATTATTTTCAATAAAGCTTTGTTGAACTGGAGTGACATTTTTCGATTGGTCTCCCGGTTCGTCAGTAGAAGAGAATGACGATCTGCTAGCACGTCTCTTTAATATCAATGGTTGTGGAATAGGGACACTCTTCAATTTAGTACATGGCGATGAGGAAAGTGATATTTCAGCTGATGTTGTGATTGGACTAACGGTGACAGGAGCAGCTTGTGCTCTTTCAGAAGACTGTAATAAAGGTATAGAACCAAGAGCTGAGCTATGGTTAGTCCTTTGTTGAGACTCATCGACTTTTTTCAAGGATTCCTTTTCTTCTACTTTATTCATAAAGACGGCATTCACTTGTAGAAAAAAAGAAAAGGCCATTATATGAAAATCATTCTTTCGGGTTTTTTCTACACGTCACACACGAAATTGTATTCAGTGATTGGTGTCTGTGTAATGCTTAAGTGAGAGAGTCAGAGAAAGATAGATGACAAGTGTTCTCGAATTAAGTCATTTAAAGAACGTGCTGGTTGTCTCTTTTCCACTTTTGGTCACATTTTCCTCCTTCTTCTTCTCTTTCCCCCCTTTCTTCATCATTCAGTCTATTCATTGTTTATCTGTATACACAGTGCATATATAATAGCCATATTTTTTTTTCTCTTTATTCATATTTATTGAGGAAATTCACATGCATAATCATGATTGAGTTGCATAAACTAACCTCATCAATACTTGTTTTTATGCTTCTTGTTCTTTTCATCTGTACAATTCTAGTCTTTTAAAGAACTCTTAACTGATTTGACATCAAAAACGATTGAAAAAACGGGCAAAGATAAATACATTTAGTGATGTGTGATAGAACCTGCCCAAGTTTTCTTATTGGACGGCAAAATGGCCTTTGTTGGGGATAAATTGAGTATAAATTGCAAACAGCCTGTATTTCTTTTTTTTTTTTTTTCTAAATCCAGGGCAACAGAGATGAAGGTTACAATTGTTTCGCGTAATCCAAAATCAACCAACTTTCCAGTGACTTTAGAGATCCCAGGCTCTGCAAAGGAAGTGACAACATCAGTCATTTCAACAGAGCTTGCCAAGAAGTTCCCTAAATACAAAGTTGAACGTCAACGATTGACAACCGAGGACAAGAAGGCACTTGATGCTAGCAAGACCCTGAACGAACAAGGACTTGAAGACGACTGCACTATTTACTTTAAGGACCTTGGGCCACAAATTGGCTGGCGCACCGTATTCTTGATCGAATATGCAGGCCCCGTCTTGATCCACCCCATCTTTTATTATCTATCCAAAGCAATTTATGGCACCCAAGTCGCCCACTCACCTATGCAAACAGCCTGTTATTACATGGTGATGGCTCACTTTATCAAACGCGAATTGGAAACCGTATTCGTTCACCGTTTCTCTCATGGCACAATGCCTTTCCGTAACGTCTTTAAGAACTCTGCCCATTATTGGTTATTATCAGGTGCCAATTTGGCATTCTGGCTCTATGGACCCTGGTTTGCTAAGGATAAGACAGCTAGTGTTCGCAATGACGTCTGGCTTTATGGATCCGTAGCTGTTTGGGCTGTAAGTTTTTCTTATTGTGTGGTGTACATGATACTCATTTCTTTTTTATGCAGTGGGCAGAAATTTCCAACTTCTTTACACACATGACTCTTCGCAACTTGCGTCCTCCTGGAACGCGTGTACGTGCCATTCCTTATGGTTATGGATTCGATTTAGTTTCTTGTCCCAATTACTTTTTTGAATTCATTGCTTGGTCAGCGGTTTGCTTCCTTAGTACAAGCTGGAGTGGTAAAGGATACATAATGAATACATCATCCCCTCACTTGCTCACTGTTTTGTATTAGCTTTCCTCTTTAATGTAGTTGCTACTGGTCAAATGTATGTTTGGGCCGTCAAGAAGCACAAGAATTACAGAAAAGAGTTTAAGGAATATCCTCGTAACAGAACAGCCATGTTCCCTTTTATTGCATAGTTTATTTTTGAATAAAGTATCTTTCGGCAACATCTCCAAAGTCATCAAGGACACCCTGAATTGTCTTTCTGAAGCTTGAAGAATTGGTGTCAGCATACGAATTCCATGAAGAAACACTCATACGAATGCGTTCCTTGCCGATAGCATAGTTTATGCCGTATCCTTCAGGAACGACAGCACCAAATCCACCCCAGGCCATATCGCCTGGTGACGTGTTGGACGTAGACAGCAGCCAGTATTGAGATCCCCAGTAGGAAGGATCTTGGTAGATGGCTGCATCATCTGATGCTGCTTCTTCTGGTGTCATTTGACAGCGAAGTCCCAGTAAATGGCGGTCAACGCCATGGCCTATTATAAAAAATGAGCTGACCATTTTCTACATATTTCTTTTTAAAATGGTTACCGCTGCTTGCGGCCTTCATGTACTCTAAATGTCCAGCAACGGCCTTTTGGAATAGATTCAACTTTTCAGATAACTAAATCACGCACGTTAGATTCATAAAGCATTTACTTTATCCCTTTTTTTTTTTTACCTTCACGTTCTTATCATCCCAAGCCTTGGTGAATGCCACTGTTTCTACAGAGCAGCTTCGAACGGTCTCGGTACGGCCGGTCAGGAACTTTCTGGTTGACGCAGACTCATAGGTAGGGCAGGGCTTGCCGTAGTGTCTGTAGTAAGCTAGTTGATATGCCATCTGAAGCCATGCATCAGGACTGACCTTAGCTGCCTTCATGAAATTTGAGCCATAGTTATGATAGTGAAGCAGGACGCTATCCAAATCCTGAATAAGTTTAGAAGCATTGTCTTCGGCTGTACGAATAGCATCCTGAACACTGCTCGATAGCTCCCATGTCAATAATTTAGGCTGAGCCAATCCAGGCACAGAAGCAGCACTGTTTTGGATAGGTTCACTAAAAAAAATATTCATATCAAGAATTCACTGACTGCTTATTTTCCTTACCGCGCCAATACATCATCAACAATACGAGAAGGAATAACTGCATCAGCAGGTGAGTGCTAAAAGAAGGTAGGTGTTAGTAAGATTGTGGAAAGATAATAAACTTTAGTACCTCGCCATTAATACCAGCACGTCCATTATTTTCTACAATAAACTGTAAAGCTTTATCAAACCATCTGTTTCTTCCGTTTCTTCCGTGAAAGATGTTGCGATGAGATAGATCAAGATCCAAGGGCGAACTGTAATCATCTAAGCAGAACACGAACAAGGAGTCATCAATATTTTTAAGTGATTTGGCATTGGTGGTCTGTTTTTCCATTTGCTCACGAATCTAAAAGAAGAGAGTTAATATATGTTGGCTTGCCATAGAACACGACTTACAGGTCCCCAGATATCTCTGTGCTCTGTAGTCAGTAGGCCAACAGCAGCCTGACGCTGTTCAACAGGTGTCTGTTCTACTTGTTGCACGACTTGGCGTAGTTGTCTATTCAAAAAAAAAAAAAAAAAGAGGGGGTTAGCTCTGGTACATAGTTTATATATGTCACAACTTTACTGTTCAATCTGTTTCACAGGAACAGTTTCTCCATTAGGACCAATGACATCCACAGAGAATATTTGATCCTTGTAGATAACATTGATATGTTTGGCTAAACATGGCCATTGAGTGATCACTTTATCACAGCCAGAGGCTGCAATACGACTTGTTCCAAACATGTTCTTTAGTTGATGCATACAGAAAGGACCAGATCTTGATACATCTGGAGGTATCTGCTCACTGTATGTAATTTTAGTCATTGCCCTTTTAATGTTTACTTGTACTTACTTGTTGACGCGATTAGAATAATCGACCAATCCAGCAATCATACCAGCCGACCTATCGAATTGGAAATCAGTCACTTGTCCATCAGGAGCTCCCTTTCCAAGTCCTGTATCGGGATCCTTGAACTGATTCCACCAGTTGACATTGATGAGAGTTGGAATACGGTATTCGAGATAGGCTTTCTTGAGCCAAAGACGGTCAAGCCAATTGACACCCAACTTTGCCTCCTGTTCGTCAAGTTGGTATAGTCGAGATTGTAATTTTTCTGCGAGACCTCCGGGCTGAAAGAAACGATCGATCTTTGTTGATACGGATTCATAGTCCGTCGTAGTCAAGAGAGGTAATAACGTACGCTTGTAACGAGCGGACGTCAGTTGAAGGTCGGGGATAGGAAGCCTTGGTAACTTTGACTGGTTTGAAAATGTGCGTGGTTGTTGTTCTGTGGCAATAGTGGAGTAACCAGCGCGTGTGAACTTGCTGATGCTTTCAGATAGCCACGCTTTAGCTTTCTGTTGTTGTTGTTTTTTGTTATATTTATCTTACCCAGAACGACTCAACATGTATTGTCTCGTCAGCATTTTTTCTTGTTTGAAAAGTAACGAGCTCAAGTGAAGATATAGGAAAAAAGCCGAAAGAGAGAGAGAAAAAAAAGGGGTGGAGAAATAGTGTGGAGAAAGACATGTGATTTTATGTAACAGGATTAAAAAAAAGCGTGTCACGGAATTAATTCTAAGGTTAGTAAGGTGGGTACATGTTGGGTCTATTACTAGGTGGCATCGGTCTCATGGATTGCCCTGGAGGATAAGGTCTCGCTTGAGGCATTGGACTTGGTTGATAAGGCCCAGGCGGCCTAGGTGGATAAGGTGAACCTGAACAAAAAGAATCAACAAAGACTAATCACATACAAAGATATATATATATATGACTTACCTTGTATCGGTCTAGGAGCTGGCGATGCTGCTGGGTGATAAGGAGATGACAGCAACGGTTGTGAAGGTGACATGATTTGTGATGAGGTTGAAGGTCTTGGCTGAGGGTAAGGTGGATGCTGACTAGGTAATGGCATTGAGTGTGGAGGATATGGTGGTACTGAATGCTGTGGAGGCGCCGAATGGGGAGGGAGGGGCGTTGAATGGTAATGAGACATATGTGGTGGTGGTGGGCGGGGTGGCATAGGTGTGGATGGATGTGGAGGCGCAGAATAAGGAGCATGTGTTACTGGATGTGGAGGTGGTGGCCGTTGATGAGGCGGAGGACGTTGATGAGATGGTGCATAATGTCCATGAGACTGTTGCTGTTGCTGAGGCAATGGTGGAAGTGGACGTGGGCGATATCCATTAGATCCTGGAGGATATTGATATCTCACAGGTTGCTGTGGTCTTGCCATAGATTGTTGCTAAATTAAGAAATATAAGCTGTCAAACTTTGGTATGATTACTTTATCTTACAATGGGATAAAATGTCAGTTCCAAGTATATTTCTCCTCCATGTTTGCCTTGATATTTTACTGGAAAATATCCATCATGTTCCCTTTCTCTCAATACTTTTGTCAGATCAACAACTCCTTCTCCCATCAAATTCCTTGCATTTGCTTCCTTATCGAATATCTGAACATGTAGTCGATGTTGACCTTGTCTTATAGGAATATTAACCTAACTTGGAGATCAATGGCCAAGCTTTTTTTATTGAACGTGTTGTATTACCTGATCATCCCAAATAGGGTATGAGCCTCCTCCATAGTCTGTCTTTGTCCTTTTCACTACTTCATTCACTCTGAATATACAGAATGGATCTTGTTTACTAGTCGCCTTTTTGATGTTTGTTATATAAAGAGTAGCTCATATCTTATCAACTTACATACCTGGTGTTGTAAGTTTTCCTATAAAGAATATAAAAGTATACAATCAGATTCTCTCTCTCTTTCTTTTCTTTGTTATATTGTATTTACTGCTTTCAGAGCAACGACGACCAGTTCACCCAAGAGTGATTGTGGTTGTTGCATCATGTGGGAGTTTTTGTGAATGAAAAGAAAAATTTGAGACTTTATACACACCTTGCGAATTTTATTTGAAACTCCCTTTAGTAACCCTTTTCATACAATAGCAATAATGCGTGTGTATGTGCGCGTACGACTGAATGCTTGACAAGTAGATATATAAAGGGTTTATTGATGTTATAAAGAAGGTATGAAAGGGGGTTCAATGGAGATAAACATGAATGAGAATGAAGGGAGAATTGTCAATTCGTTTTCTTGATTTTATTAAACAAAGCGCAAGACATTTAGTCTTTCTTTTCTTCGTCTTTCTTTTCCTCTGCTTTCAATGAGGCATTGTGAGTTTGAGCCTTTTCAAATTCTTCTTTGAAAGCATTGGCATTATCAGAATTAGCAAAACGAATAGCTAAAGTCTCAGCAGTGGGTGTGCCTTCAGAGACATCAGCAGAGACCTTCCAAACCCAAGAACGGTCAGATCCAACATTAGGCTGAAGTTTCATATAAGTTTCAACATAGTGGTTGGCGCAAACTTTGAGTGTTTTATCACGACGCATGACGAGACGAATCTTTTTGTTTTCTTTGTGCTTTAAAAATCGAACATCACCAGTACCACGTTCCTTCCATTCACCAGCACCGGCATCAAAACGGAATAATTTAGCACGCCTAGAATATATTAACATGAGTACATAATTGTAAATAATTACATATATATTTTTCATACATTTTGAAGAGAACTTCTTCATCTTCTTCATTAGTCTTTGTTTCAACTTGGTCTAATTTGATGACTGGTTCAAAGTGAACATCAGGTTCTTCTTCAACCTCTTGCTAATTGACAACATGTGACATTTTAGTAAAGTCATTAGCTTCATCTTTTTTTCGTTTTACTTGTTCAACGGGCTTTTTTTCTTCAGTGTCAGACATTTTGCTATATAAGAAAAATAATGGATGGATGGATTGATATCCAATTTTATGGTTTGTTTCCTTTGGATCAGATGACGTTGCCCTGAGTACCCTGTGCTCCGGACATACATGAAGGTACCACGAAAAATATCGGTGATTGAAATGAAGAAGTCATGCAAATGCGCAGCAATAGATTTATTTAAACATTTGATTTTTTCTTGGACAATGTATCAGCTATAGTTCCTGGAAAGGTTTCTTTTGCCTCTTTACGTGCTTGGAAGGTGAGAAACCATTGCCTTAAGTTGGGTGAACAAGCTATAAAGTCAGGTCCTTCACGTATCGCGTACATGTCTGCCATCACTGGAAACAACAAAAAGTCTGCCCAAGTGAGCTGTTCACCACACAAGAACTTTTGTCCATTACAAGGTACGAGCTTGTCTACACCCTGAATAATCGATACTGCCTTTTTTAAGGGGCCCTCTAGTAGTTGTTTGATCTCTTCTTCCTTTTTGCCTTGTTGTTCATACATATCACGACGCTTGGAAACGCCAAAGAGAACATGATGAAACACGTAATCGTTCAAGATACTGATCATCTGGATCATTTTTATCCTTGTGTCTAGATCTTTAGGTGTCAACTTATCTGAAATTACAGTATCGATATATTCACGAATAGCTAATGTTTCAAAAATTGTCTTGTCTTTATGTAAGAAGGAAGGTATTCTACCAAATGGATTATACTTGTATGCCAATGAGCTGTGTGGATCAGCTTGTTCAAATTGGAAAGACACGTCCAAATGGATCAGAGCCATTCTGATGGAACGTGTATAAGTTGAGAAATAATTACCAATAACCGTGGGAGATTGCATGTTGTGTGTGTATGGAAGAAACAGGTTCACAATTTATAGTTGCACTCTTTCTCTCACAGTCCCAGCAACGGCTGACTAAGAAGTTTAGAATGTGACATCCAAAAGGGCTAATAATATTTTCCGTGGGTGTGGGGTATTGTTTATTAAATTTATATAGTACAATATTTCATCATTAATATTTCTGCTAAAGCTGGTGAACCGTTTATAACGTAAATAAGATGAAGGTTATATGCTGCTTCATGTTTAAGATCAGTTTCATCATACTCTTCATCCTCATTGTCATCCTCATCCATATCATCCACTGGCCATTTATATACATCTTCTATAGGCTTTTCTTTTTCTATATGTGCTTTTGCTTTAGAAGGCAAACATAGCACTCGTTCATAGTGAGGAACGGCCAAATGTGTCAAACCGATGAGATGAAAGGCAACTGCCATATTATATTCACTTTCTTGGCATCGACCCATGATCCTCATATATTCCTGCATAAATAGCATACCCTATATAGGACATGTAAATGAGTGTGTCTTTATAGATTATACTTCATACCTGCACAATCAGCAAATGTCTATTATCACATCTACGCTGAGTAGATGCTTGAAGGAATGACATTCCCAAACACAATGTGTTGACAGGGTCTCGAGGAGCAATCGCGTACGCTCTCATGTAAAATACTATGTATTGCCTTTTAGTATAATATTATGTCAACAGAGAAAATTAGTACTTACAAGTTGCCGCAAGATGGTTTCTTGATATACTCATCAAATGAGCAAATAGTGTCAAGATAATTGGATTTGGACGAGAGAGTGATTTTGCTTCGATTCGAAACAGTGATTGCATATCCGTATTAGTAGGAACCTCATAGAAACGCATATAGTTTTGCTCATTTGCTGAAGGATCAACATTCATTGCTCTAATAGCGTCATCCAATTCTTTAATTTCATCTAGTGGTACATTGTTTGCTCCTGTTCCTTTTGAGTTTAAGACCAAGGCATCCATGAGTCGAACGATACGAGAGGTATATTTGAGCTGAGAATAAGATATTAGACCAGAATAACTACTACTTGCACTATTTCCCCCAAAAAAAGTATTAATATTTCAATCCATTCTATGATCTTTATCTTACCCATTTAAAACAGCAGTGTAAATTCTGAAAGGATCGTTTTGAAATTGATAAAAGTTACATAACCAACGAGCTCCATCTTGCACCATAAATTCATGTTTAGTAATTATACCACAGCCTGTAAAGAAATGTTAAAATGGTATGCGTCTTGTTGATATATCATACCTATTTGTGCTAGTTTTATGGATGTTTTCATTTTAAGATCTTGAAAGAATACATTTGCTTCAAAGCATCTTCTCAATAGCTCGTGGGTCTCTTCTTTTCGTTTTGATACAGCAAGCATAAACGCATACTATAAGAAATGTTAATGATATTTCCTTTTTATCATTTCTTTATCATCATTACCCTTAGGAACACATAACACCATTTAGTAAAAGGTATAGTACGAAAGTGGGTCGCAGCACTCATCTTCATTTCTTCTTCGGCTTCCTTTTCATCTTGTTTATCTTCCTCGTCCATTTCCTCATTATTTGCAGCATCCTCACTCTCTTTTTTCACTCGTTTTCGAAGACGCTGAGCCATGTATCGTGCATCCAATCTTGAGTGAGCATTTGGTCTCTTTTTGCCTCTTCTTATAGCATAAAATCCTTCAAATCGTTTACTCTAATAAAAATGATTAAACAACGTATTCGTACAAATGTTGTAGCCTTACTCTTGTGCTGCTAAAGAATGCGCGAATAGCATAAAATCCTTCCCATAGTTCCTGAGCAGCCCTCATGTAATCTCTCATCAGTGCACGATTCATACCAACTACATCAGGGCCAGTATGTTTGTCAATTTCGTCCAGTCTTTGAAACAAGGCGATAGCAGCCACCTCTTTTTCTTGTTCTTCTCTCAGCCTTCGAGCACGTCGTATGTCATATAGCTCCTTTACCGTCCTTGCACGGCTTTCATCAAAAATGGATGCCTTTTTAGATGCATCATTTGATCCAGCTTCAGTTCTTCCTTCTTCTTGACTCTTTGAGGCTTCCTTAAGTCTACGTGCTTCTCTGTTTTTCTTCATTACTATTGCAATTGTTAGAGACTATAATACAATGCGTACAAATACTTGCCAAATTCTAACAAGTCAAGAGCCTGCTCTTCTTTTCCTTGTTCTTCATATACTGTAGCAAGGGACACCATTACGTCCAAATTCTCTGGTTGCTCTTCCAAAACTAAACAATGGTAAATAAACAGTTAATACACTATTGAGTATGATGTGATATATATATACCATTGATATAGAACATAACAGCTGTATCTAATTCACCCATCTCGCGATAACAGTCTGCAGTACGAATCAAAAGATCCACTTCAACTTCCTGTAAAATATGTGTAAGCGAGGGGGCCAGTCCTTGTCCGTTAACTTACATCTGATGCGTCAATGATTCTTTGAAACACCTTTAAAGCCAATTCATAGTGACGCTTATCGTAATAGGCATAGGCAATATCTTGATGTAAGTCTGGATAGGTTGTAGCTGGGTATTGTAATAAATATTCAAAGTGTTTCTATAAGCAAGAAGCATAACAATTAATTGTCTCATCATTATATTATCAATTCAGACTTACGTTTGCCACTTTAATTGGTCCTAAATAAACACGACAGACACCCATTCTCACACGCAGCTCAATTGGAAAGTCTGTTCTAGCGTCGTCATCTCCAAAATACTCGTCATCATCATCAGCATGATCTATCCACCATGTTTCATGCTGCCTATGCTGTATCAGTCTTAGACCAGTCTTGATTGTATCCAAGCATCGAGAATAATCATTCAAAACGAGATATAATTCACTCAACATATTGATTTCAGAGTATCCCAACTTATCGCTAAACTCTTCCTCTTCTTCACCATCTGCCTCATCCTCTCCAGTGTCATTTTCTGTATGATACACAATAGCGTCCTCATACATCTGGATCGCCTCCTGTGTTTTTCCTTCAGCACGGTATATCTGAGCCATTTCATTAATAACTTTAAAATGATGCGGCATTATCTCCAGAATCTTTTTAAATCCTTCTATCGCTTCTGCATTTCTTCCAGTTTGCTTGTACAAAAAGGATCTATCCCATAATACATCCACATCTGATGGATCCAAGGTTAATGCTTTTGAAAAACAGTAAATGGCTTGCTTAGAAGCATCGCTTTCACTATAAGCACGGTTAGATTCACACTTTTTTATGCTATTTTATACATGATGTTACTTTACATTGACTTTTGTCCCAACTCTTTCCAAAGCGAAGCATCATTACACATGTGTGCTGCAACCATACGTAGTTGAAGTGACTTGGCTGTATTTCCAAGTTCTTCATGCACCAGACCCAGCGTATTCCAAGCGGGATAAGCCTCAGGATGATCTGTGATAACCTCCTGTAACATGGCAATAGCATTACCGTAGTCTTTGCCAATATACAATGCATTTGCTTCACCGAGCTTTCGTTTGACCTCTTCTGGTAATCGGACTTCACCAGCCGTTATCTTTCTCTTGACACCTCTCTTTAATTTTCCAATGCCTGTGTTTATGGCCAGGTTGTTGTCAAATTCTTCCATGTCTCTTTCCATTTCTTCTGTTCCGCCTGTTTTCAACAATTCACGCTTCTTTAAAGAACTGTTCAAAAGATCACTATAGTAATTGTACATTAGTTCACATTCTTGCAACGATCTGTATGCTGATTTACGTGATTTCGCTATCGTCAATAAGTTCATCTTCTTCACTCATTAGTTCATCGATCAACTCATCGTCATTATCTTCTACGTCCAGTAAGGATTCTTCCTCTATTTCTTCTTCTTCTTCTTCAGACACGATGTTTGTTTCTTCTTCAAGACTGGTCAAGAAGCTCTCAAAGGATTCCTTCTCTTCTGGATCAGTATCTAGTGCTTTTTTTGGTGGCATAATTTATACAGATTTGGCAAACAGTTTTTTGGCCACGCTGGGCGTTTTTGTTGTTTCAAAATGCAGTCACTCTGAGTTGATTGCACTGACTTTGAAACTATCTTAACAATAGCAAGCCAAAATTCATCAGATAACATCCATAGCTCTTGCCAAAAGCGCGAACTTAAAAAGAACTAGGCCTTCTTCTGGATCGATAAAGTTCAGTTCACCTTGGATCGTGTTTCTGATATAGTCCAGATGCTCAAGAGCAGTGTTCAAAAAGTTATTGATAGAATTTGTGAGACTGGATCTCTCAAAAAAAAAAAAAAAACTTAGCGAAAGAGCTCAAAGACACTTGGAAAGAATTATAAGAAGCCCATTTGCGTCTTATAATTCTATGTGATTCCAATTACAGCAAGCTGAGATTACAATCTCCCGACAGACAGTAATCAGCTACTTGAGGGAAATGAGCTTTAAATCGTACTTTGTTGCACATAAGCCATCTCTTACAGAAACAGACAAGAAGAGAAGACTCCGTTGAGCCTCGGATCATGTCGACTGGGCTCAAGAACAGTGGGAAAGCGTGGTTTGGTCGGATGAATCACGCTTTACGGTGGAGGGTGACGTGTTTGATGAGATAATCATTATAATAACCCGAGTATAATCTTACAGTAGAGCATACATTCTACTTTACATTCTTTTATCGTATCTGATAAGAATAACTTATAATAACAACTATAGTAGCTACTAGTATAACAATAATAGTATAAGCATAAATAATGTCAGTGACGACAATATAAATAACAGCCATAGATTCTCTACCCAAACTTAATTTAATGGTATTCAGCTCTTCTTAATAAGGAATCTAATTCGCAAGTCATCGACTTAATAGCCTTTTTTCAATAACACTAAAGCTAAATATAACAGAGGGCTATAACAGTGAGGCCAGAGTTATTCGTAAAGTCGGGAAAGGTACGAGTTTCCTCACGTTAAGCCCACAGCAAAATAGGGCTATGGAAGTGTTATGTTATGGAGCTATTTTTGGGCAGGAGTCTCTGGGCCTTTGGTGATCGTTGATAGTTCTGGAAACAAGAACGTATATATTGACATTTTGGTTAAGAACTTTCACTCTTGGTTTAAAAAACAGGGTAGATGAAGAAGAGAGAGATTTCATCTTCCAAGAGGATGGCGCAAGCTGCCATATTGGTGGCTATGCAAAATGGTGGAAAAAGACCCATCAAATAAGAGGTTTTGAGCACTGGCCTACCCGAAGCCCGGATTTAAATTTGTATTCATTGCTAGTTCTGACGAAGAAGCATTGGGGAGCAAAGCAAGAAAGGGTGGACTAGGTCGTAAGTCAAATGGAAGATATAAGGTCATTTACAACGACTACGAACAGCAGATAATCCACGCTGAAGTCAAAGGCCCGAAAGTAATTACAGAGGATCGCATATATCACCCTGATTTTACAAAGCTCTGTAACTTGCTGAAGGATGAGTTTGACTATTTGCTGTCGAAAGACTGCCCTACCGAAATTTCAGACTTTGGAATGCTTATTGGCGGTAAGTGAGAGGTTAGAGATATTTTTACACAAGATAAACTGAAAGTCACATTGTAATTAGGACACAGGGCATCGGTATACGCCATGGATTTAGTCTATACACACATATATAGACTATTTGAGTTTGGTGAATTTTTAATTCCCCGTTCTAATCTTGATCTAAATCGTTTGGACCAGTGCTTTAACGTGTTGATCACTCTGAAGGTTAAATTTTAATACCAAATAGATAATTGCATTTGCTTTACTAACTGTCAAGAATACTAGGAATTTGTGGATAAATCCTCCAAGCAATGCTTAGAGTTTTTGATGAAAGCCGCCACTTCTGGAACGCCTCCAGCACAAAGGCAGCTTTATGTCAAGTCTTTTAGGAGCCCCTAAAAAAGTTCGAATAAAAGCACCTCTTTTGTTAAAAAAATATATAACATTCGCTATATAAAATGCAGTATTTATTTACAAGTGTTTGTCAAAGAACTGGGAATTAGACGCTTTATAATTAGAGGTTTTGTTTATATGTGGCATAAGAGGGTTTAAAGAGCATGGCTTGACAATTGAGCATTGCCTTCATTGTTTAATTTATGTGGAATGCACGATAAGCAGATCAATCAAGTAAAAAGACCAAAAAGTAAGCGTATTGGCAATTGACACAGAGAAGCTCCTAAGGCTTGACCAGATATCTTCCCTAGTATATAAAGGTGTTAAAGGCTATATTATTTAAGCAAAAGGCTAATAGTTTAAATACCTTTTTTTTTTTTTAAAGCAGATAGTGGGGCTCATCTTCATACTACAGCCAGCAAGGATATATGCCACCTATGAACAGACCTCTCTATGCTCACGCATAGCGAATCCTTTTTTTTTATCGCCCTCATAAGCGGTTGAATTACCTAGTGAGGGTCAAGTCATAGTTATGACGCTGCGGTAACAACCATCAAAACAGCTGTATTCGTCACCTCTGTTGCTATTCAACAACAGCAGATCAAGCCGACCTTATGAAAGGGAAGTGTGAAAAATGAACCAATGCGAGAAGATCTTTTACCAGACCGAAGATTAACAGCGAAATAGGCTGTCTCTCCCTTTACATGGATCACAAAATGTGTGCCCCGCGGGCGGTGATGCCGTAATTTGCGTAATCAAAAAGGGTATTGCAGTTCAAATATTCTAGACTGACATCACACAAGCAATAATTGACAAGACACACCATTTGCGATAATTTAGATAAATAGGAAACTGGGAGAAATAAGCAACCAGCGTATATGACTTCTTGATGCGACTCCAAAAACTATCTCAAAGAGCCTGATATGTCTTTCTGTCGTAGCTGGTAAATCGACTCATTCTATATACGCGTGCGCGCACTTGACCAAGGGAATAATGATCTGCTGGTCATTTGTACAACAAGATGACAATGAACATATTTTCTTTACATATTTGTATATGCATCGTTCCCGACTTATCGGAACATTTTCTGCATAGATTTTGTAAATCGAATTTACACACACACGAGGTTTGTCATGTAAGGTATTTTACTTGTTTTTTTGAAAATAACCAAAAAAGGGTTTATCAGAGGGAATCATTGCCCATAAAACGAGCATACCGAGTGTCATGATGATACAAGCATAGGGCATAGATAGTATACCAAATCTACCGGATATCATACCAGTGATGAAAGGGAATAATGCAGCACCACCTGCACCCAAACTATAGTAGACAAAAAAATTAAAGTTTAATTATGAACAATCTTGGAGTCATATGATATACTTACGCAGAAATGAATCCAATGGCTGTAGTATGATAGCTTCTTGGAAGTACTTTAGATGCTAATGAGATAGTTGTAGGGAACATGGGCCCTAACAGTAAGCCAATGGATATAATAACTAATTGACGTCAGTCGGCCGCACATCTCTTGTAATTCATTCTATTTTACCAGATGAATTCAGAACCACATCAGCTGAAATACACATCACGGTCAAGCAACCAATGATCATCATGGTGAACACTGTGATCATCAATTTCTCTCCAAATTTACCAGCCAGGTAACCTAACAAGATCCTTCCACTTGCTAGACCAGCCCAGTATGCGCTGATGACTCTACCCATCGCGATTGGATCACCATGACGTCCTTCGGTTAGATAGGTATAGCCCCATCCTCCTACGACAACTTCATCGCCGACATAGATCAGAATATATAGCGCGCCAATGATGGTCATTGGATGTAAAATAGCTGCTTTTGTTAATGCTTTACGGCTTTGTTGGTTATCTGTATTATCTTCGTCGTGCTCTTCGTCTAATTTGACTCCCATAAATCCGATGGTAATAGTGATGAGGTTGATGATGGAACAAACAGCCAAGAATATATACATGCCTTTCCATGAGATATCATGCTCTAATAAATAAGTGGCTACTAAAGGGCTGATCATTGCGCCAACACCATACAGGGCTGTATATATACAAAGTCACTCCACTTGTGTGTATTTCATGTACATTCTACTTACCGTGCAAGATATTGAGCATAAGAGTAGCAAGAGGTAAATTAGCTGTAAATACGTTCATTGCAGCGTCCATCAGAGCCATACCCATACCAGAGCATACCATAGCAGAGGCCATGATGGGGAAAGGAAGGCCCATCATGAGTACAAAATAGGCTGCCAGCTGTACAGTTCCACCAAGATAGATCGCTTTGAGCTGTCCGATATGATGAACAATAAAACCATTAAATCCTGCACTTATAAAGAAGCCTGTGGCACTACACAAGAACAGTAATGAAATCGTTTCATTTGGAATATCATAGTATTGCTTGACTCTTGGAATAATGCTGCCCAAGGTACCATCGTTAAGACCAGCAATCATTGCCATATAAAAAGCAGCTAATAGTGCCTTGACATGTCCCTTTAGATCTCTAAATGATTCTTGTCTTTCTTGTTTGTTTTGAACCAACGGTGTATTTTCATCGATCAATGTAGAAGAATTATCCATTATTAATAAAGAATAAGAAAAAAGAAAGGTACACATTGCAATATCCAGCATTTATATATGCTCTCCCCCCCCTTTAATCTTTAAAGAGCTCCGCAAATTCGTGGCTTACTTTTTTACCAATCATGTTGCGGAAAACAAATAATTATTTTCGCTTTAAAGGTAAGCAGATATGTTATGAATTAGAATTATTTTTAATGTTATTTTTAGTCCTTCTTGTTCTTTGATATTAGGCCAATGCCACAGGTGCTTCTTCTAGGCACTACATGTAAGGCTCGAGTAGAATACCCTTTAATGTAAAATACGAATTCACCATAATTACAAGTGAGCTAAATGGTCTTTATTGATCAATTGACAACTAAAATTAGAATAAAAAAATATAAATCTCTTTTTATCTCTTTTTCTTCTTTATATGAATCAAACGAAGATGCTTGAGAAATTTTGTTGGGTGACATCATAGGTAATGTGTAGAGGTAGCATTAGTCTAACTTCTGCTGTATTTTCTGGTGCATGTAGTGTTTCTTTGTGAAAAAAGAGACATTTATTGGCTAAAGACTACCTTGGAACAAGCAGCCGACCTACTTGTAACAGGTTACCTTCCTTTGACAGACCAAACAGAAAGAGACATCATCAGGCGGTTCATTAATACTGCGTATGATACGAGTGAATTGACCTTTAGAAGGTACAGTAATAAAAGCTTATTATTCAAATATGTTGACTCAAAAGATAAATATAGTGAAAAGGCAAATCTCTCGTGCTTTTTAGAAAATAACAAGAGAAGGTAGCAGCCACAAATATAATGGACAGACAATATTACAAAAGATTTGTTTCTAAATGGTCAATCGGGACCGTACACACTGTACAAACCTGTAAATTTTCATTTGATTTCCTTTTATGGAAATTTTGTCTTTTTTCTTGATCAATATCCAATGGTCATCTTGGCCTAAAAACAAATGTATATAACACTATAAATGAAGTACATATGTGTGTGTTTAGTACAATAGATTATCATTATTATCAATTGAATAAAATCTCATATCACACAGCATCTTATTCTTTTCCGGCGTCATAGACAGCGGATTACAAAAGTAATGGTAGCTACCACAGCGTTGGTGCATTGCGGCACTTGAATAAACTCTATATACAAAAAAAAAAAAAAAAAGAGTACTTTTCCTTACATAAACAATGGCCGATCAAATATTAGCATCTACTCAAACTGTATTGGAAAACTTTCATTTAAAACCAGAAGACATTAGTAAATTCACTGCAATCTATGATGATCTGGACAGTCTTGCACAGTTAATCCGTAGAGGACAAAACAACATTACGCTACATTGCAAGGAACGTGAAGAACTTGATCAAACGAATCAAGTAAGGATCAAGATAAAGTTATTCTATAAGCATTGACACTAATTGACATAGATTAAGGAAATGGACATGCACATGAGGAAATTACTTGATTTAGAAACAACATTAAACAGTACAAAGACAGCCATTGAAAAGATTCCAAATGATATTATGAGAGGAGAGCGAGTTGTTTGTACCTCCTTTTTAAACGCATGTTTAGAGTATGTACTAAATCCTTTGTAGAATGATGTCTTGACCATGTACGATGCAGAATTGAGTAAACTTGATAATGAATACAACAACAGATCAGAAAAGGATAAATATTTGACAAATGATAGATACATTCTCTATAGAGAGCATATTTGGGTAATGTGTATATATGCATATAAATGTAACGTAAACTAACATTTAACAGAACGTCAAGCATGCTGATATCGATATGCCGCCCTTAACAGAAGAGAATAATAACGATGATGAAGAGATTGTCATGGGCCCAACCAAGCTATCATTCAAATGTCCTATTACCACATCTTGGCTTGAACAGCCCATGACAAGCAGAGTATGCAAGCACTCGTTTACAAAATCCGCAATCACACAATTGATCAGAATCAACCACGGTGCAGTTACCTGCCCTGTCTCTGGCTGCAACAAGTATATCAGAATGGATATTCTTTATGATGATGAACTTTTGGCAGATAAAGTGAAAAGAGCCAAAGAAAAGGCAGAAGAGGAATCATTTCCCACTGAATTTTATGATATTGAATGAAAACATTATATGTACTACTTTTTATTGTCTAAAGTGTGAAATTGCTGTGGTTGTTTGTGCTTGACATGAGCCCTATTGCTCTTGCACGCTTGATGGCTTTTGCTAATTTACGTTGATTCTTTGCACTCAGACCTATAATATATGAGTTTAGTTTTATACATACAATAAACACATACACACATACCAGTTTGCTCACGAGGTAAAATCTTTCCAATGTCAGATACAAATTGTGACAAGAGTTTGTAGTTTTTATACTCATGAAGTGGGTTGAGATCAAGTACTTCAAAAGGATCTTGAGTAGGTGTTGCAGATTTACCACGACGAGCTCTTAATGACTCTCTATAACGGCTGTCGTTCAAGTCTTGTGGGTGATAGAGATCACCTTCTTGGTGAATCTTTTGATAGCGTTGAACACTTTCAGTTGTTGTACGAGACTTTTCTTCTGTTGTCATAAAAGGTTATCCTATGTACTTCTTTTTTATTTTTTATTTTTTTTTACTTACTGGCAATAGTATCTTCCAACAGACTCAAGGTTTCTTGTTCAAGACCTAATGTGAAAGAAGTTAGTTCAAGATATTTATGATTAGTTATCATTACTTCTTCCTGCTTTCTGTGTATATGTTCTGCTTAAAACCTGTATGCTAGCTACAGGAGATACTGTGAGTTTAGTAGCTGTTGATAATGCACGAAAAGGAATCATGGTTTCAATTGACAAGGGTGGAAGAAACAAATAAAGAGGATTAAAAAAATTAGAAAAAAGGGCCCAGTGTCGGAGTGTTAAAGTGGCTTGTGTAGACGGATAAGTGGTTTTTTTTTATTGTTTGATGAATGGGATGCGAAAAAAAGAGAGAGAAGAAATTGCCAAGTAGTGTGGATGATTTGTATGTGTGTAAGTAATTGTAATTAAAGGGAAATAAATTAAGCTTCTTCTGGTTGTTCAGCATCTGATCTCTTCTTGAGGACGAGATCACTACCAGTCATACGACGATAGATGCTCTTGACATCATCACAAACAGTTTCAAAATGAGATGTAGCATCATAAGACTTGGAAACAAATACTTGGTCTGCTGTGCCATCAGCAATAGGCTCCTCAATGTTGGATACAGAGATGAACTTATCGTGAATAGGACCCAAGATGTCCAAACCAGCCTTGATTTCAGATTCAGGATCATCAGTTTCAACAATAGTTGAAACAATGGCCAAATACATATCCTTGGGGCAGACAGCATGGTTACTGGACACACTGGCAACATAAACATCGTGCTGACGGTTAAGCTCATTTTGAGGAATGATGATCTGAACAGAGTCTGCGTCAGTTGTATCAGGAATAGGGTGCTTTAAGAAACAGATGGCGCGCACAACCTTTCCGGTGACCTTCACCTTATCCTTAGCATAAGAAGGATCACAGATAATTTGCTTAGCCTTAGCAACCTCATTTCCAGAGCGAACACCCACAGCAACACCATTTTCATAAATGATTTCATCGGCAGCTCTGTCAAGCATATAAGTACCACCATAAATAGCACTTAATCTAAAACGGGACATGTGAGTGTCAAATATAAAAATATTTTAATTTATTAGCTTACCTTGCAAATGATTGAGGAAGTTCACCTAAGCCATGAAGAGGGTAAATGTAAGGACTCTTACCATAACGTGCGACAGAGGCAACATAGAGGATGATCTTTTCAATTGTTTCGCGAGCAGGACGCTTGAGATATTCATCATCAAGGTGAAGGGCCATGGCATGACCTATTTCCGCATAAGTAATTCCGATCATTTATTATATATCAATTAAACTTACCAATAAAGTCTTGAGTTCCCGGTTCAAGGTTAAACTTTGCATAAACATCAACCATCGTGTTGGTGTCAAGATCCAAGCCTAAGGAATATGTTCATAATACAGTCTCATTTTGATTCAAAAAATCATTTACCTTCGTGGGTCGATTCATCATCATCCTTCCACTTTTGAATGAACTCAAAGAACTTTTGTAATCTACGCTTCTCGACAAGACCCAATAAAGGAGATGATACAGCTTCGGTTTCACTAGAAGGGACCTTGGAAATCTTTCCGTCTCTGTAGACAAATGAACCCGAGATTTGCTTGAATTCCAAGTAACGAGTGACATCAGTATGAGTCAAGAAACGAACAATCTCGCCATTAGCCATCATAAACTTGGGAATCAAGTCAATGTTGTAGTCACGATCACGGCCCAACTCGGAAGGGACTGCAGTATCAGGTCTGTACTTGCGATAGAGCTAATGAAAATAATCAGTAAAGAAAGGTAGATGACATATAATATCTATTACCTGACTCAAGTTCAATGAAGCAGATTCACCACCATAGTAATCATTTCTGTCCATATGAAGTACCTTCTTACCTTCAACAGAAAAGATACCACTGAGAATACATTCAGTTAAACCAGTGCCAAGAACAATGATATCGTAGTTGTCATCCTTTTTTGAAGTGTGTCAGTCTCTACTTTTTTTTCTCTCTCTTTGTGTCTTTCTTTACCATTTTGCAATAATAATAATAATAGTAAAGAAGAAGAAGAAAAAAAAGAAAGAAAGAAAGGGCGTCTTGAGCTTATTTATATTCACTTCCTCCTCTCTTTAACGATGTGCAAACTTCCCAAACTAGGGGATACGAATGGGGGTCATTTTAATTTTTAAGCCAATTAATAACGTGCCCTTCCGTTACTGCATTAAAATAAAACGTGTGTCCCCCTTTTGAACACGAGAGTCTGTACGATTTTTGGTTGCTTAGCTTTATGCTTGTGAAACCCTTACTCTCGCCCCTTCTTTTTCTCATTTTATAAAATGTTGTCACCTTCATGTAGCTGTAGAAGAAAGTAGATCAAGCTGTCAAATAGCATGTGAAACTAATCAGTTGTCATAGAGTTGGCCTAAACACCCCCTTTTTATTCATTTTTTTTTCTTGACGTATTTTCTATATATATGTTATAGCAGATGACAATAATATGTCACTGACATTGACAATAGATATCCTCCAATCGATTCTTTTTAGTCTCTCTTCGTTATAAAAAGACCCCATTCTCGAATTCTTTCTTTCTTTTCTCGAAAAGTTGTCAAATTCTATGGCCAATCAATTGACATCTAACAGAGCCTATCGTCTCTATGCTGGACATGGCAACTGGATAAACCTAAACGCTCAGACCACAAAAGATTTACTTGACATTTTCACAAAGGGAGTACCCACTCGTTATCAGTTAGCTCCTGGTTTATCCATTGACATTATACCTCACGACGTTGACTGTAATAGTAAAAACATTGACATGTTGGGCTTAATGCGCGCTGATCTAGTTTACGATTCTGATGAGAACGTCACTCAGCAACGGATGTCGAATTATATTCGTGATATTCTCGATGAGCAAGGTATCATTGATGCATTTCCTCCAACTAAACCAGACGAAGAATTACCTCCTATTACCTCTTTACCTACCCACAGGCATCTCAGCCTTGTGCCCTCCGTCGCCGGTTCTATCCGTCGTGGCCCCAAATCAAGCCAAGGTTATGCTTCAAAAAGTGGGCCTTTATCTTTAAAAAAAAGAGTGGCCACATCCCCTTCGAGGCGCTCGCTAAAGAAGCCTCGACAACAAAAGAATGAACTGCTTAAAAAGATCATATTGCCTTTATCCTCAAACCTTCGCTCGGATACGAACGACCCATATCCAGTGGTCAGCTCTCATTCCCAACATCATCCCTCGGACCTCTGTATTCTATCCTCGTCTTCTTCCACATACCAACCCAACCCTGTGTTCTCTCTCTCGGCTAGTCTTCATCCATCATTGACAAATGACGAAACGGACGGTCAATTAAATTTACAAAAACTGTCACCCATGGTGTTTTTGAATGAATATGAACACGATTTCTCTAGCCAAAAGGATCCTGTCTTGTCATCCTACTACCCTTGTTCTTCTACTTCCTCATCATCCGCCATCACTTCAAGCACAGCTAATCAGCTTCTAGAAAGACAGCAACAACAGCAATCCTTTCCTGAGGAAAGCAGCCCGCTGGATGAGCCCATGATGTCTTCTTCTTGTTGGGTCAACGTACATTTGAACGATGTAAAAGATGAAGACGAGCAGTGGATGTCATCTATTGAATACAGTCGAAAGGATAGCAACTGTAGCACCAACAGCCATATCTTTATGCACGCGCCCATCATGGCAACTAGACCCTTTGACAATAGGTCATCTATGGATCAAAATTACTACTTTAACGATTCTTCAAAATCAACTACGGGACCTACCTCTCCAAGCGACTTTAATGACATAACAACATTACCACAAAACATGAAGCACATTGTGATGCAAAGTAGGGCTAAACAATAAATATAGTTTTTTATTTTAAAGAGAGCACTGGTATAATCGAACAAGTTCACAGTTTAAGTTTTCTTGAATGGTTTTCACCTGTGCTTTCCATTCATCATTATGATCTTTAGAGAGATACTGTAAGTAAAGCATCAAAAGGTGTGCTTTCTCGAGATGCGAGGAATTGACAAGCTCAATCAAATACTTCCCAATGGAAGCAACATCCTCTGGCTCAGGTCCATCATTGAACGTTGAAACCCATTCACGTAGTAATCGTCGAATATCGTTTATATCAGTTAATCCTTGCAAGGAGGGTTCGTTTGGTAGTCCAATAGGAAGCTTATCGTCCTTTCTTTTTACAGCCTTTATTAAAGTGTGCTATAATAAGTAACAATGGAGCTTTCACGTGTTTATATGCCCTTACTTTTTCTTCTCGTCTCATTGCTTCCTTACGCCTTTTTTCTATATCAAACAACAACTCTTTCTGTATGGACGAAGGTAACATATTCCACACATCCATATCAATCGACTCTCCATCAAGGCCATCTTGTATGGTCAAAGGAGGATTCTTTGATTCAAACAGCTGCGTAAGAGTTACCTCATTATTATTTTTTTTAGCCCTTGTTATATTGCTTTTAGTCGAGGGCTTCAGCTTGTGATTACTATAAGCCTTCAAAACTTGCTCCCTCATCTCGTCAGGTAAAGCGAGCAATGCCTCCGGATCCACCTGTGACCAAGTAGGTAGCTCAGCAAGCTGTGAACTATACACTTTTTCTTTTTCTGTCTGAAATACGAGCTTATATTTTGACATCATTTCCTTTTGTACATGCTCAGGTAGTTCAAAAAATACATCAGGATCTACATTCTATAAATAGTTAAGTCTCTCTTGTTGAGCAAAAAGGACACTTTTACCATCAGTTGTGCTTGGTTATTTTTAGTATTCGCTTCGATGCGCGTCCTTTTGTGAGATTCTTGTTCGTTTATGACCTTTCTTTTGAAATTCAATCTTTCTTGAAAGTCTACAACATGTGTAAATAGACATGCATCAAGTGTATGCTGCTACTCTTACCTGAGGTCGTTTCCTGATCCAGTTTTGTTACTTGTATACCTAACCCTCGTATATCTGCATGATGGAAATGAAAAGATTTAAGCATTGAATATACATGTTTGCTGATGGTGTCTGCATCGTGGGTATAATCAGCTAATGTACAGGACTTTGAAAATGCGTCGATTTGACCGTGTCCTAGGAGTTTTGCAGGTTCCTTTGCACCTTCTTGTCTTTTTAATATCTTTTTTTTTTATTAGTTTTCTCAGTACTATATTGCGATTCACCCACCTTTACTGTGATCATCCTGCCTCGTGAGTTGTATTTTACTAGCCTGCTCGAGAGCTCTTGGCACAGATCATGGACAAAAGCCTATAAAGATAGGAGTTTGAGATGGTTCCATATAGATTAAACCCTTACCTTTTCATTCTCTTCACTTTCAAATCGTACGCCCCACTATTTGCCATACTGTAAGAAAATCTTTCACTTTTTCTTTTTTCTTTTCCTACATTCACTTCGACACTAACGGATTGTCTCTGTTGTTTAACAGTCAGTGGTCGATTATCAATGCCTCTTGCAAAATTATACAAGGTTTGACCCAGCTTTTGGCCCAGTTTTGATTTTAATTCTTGTAAACTCATATTCTTTAAATCAGATACCGTTTGCACTCCCTAAACGTAAAAAAAAAGCATAAGGAACTTATTGAGGGAAAGAAAAAAAGTTACCATAGTAGCCAGTCTCTCCGCTGTTGCATAGCCTACCTAAGCAAAATAAAATAAAATTAACGTTTCCCTCCTTTTTTTTTTTTTTGTTTTGTCCTTCTTACTCCTGGTAGACCAGAAACTGATTGCGTCAACAGTAGCTCTTGTTTATCTTTTTCAGTTTTACAGTAAAATAAATTGGATGGCTTTGCTCGTTTAGTAGACATTCTGATTTAAAAAATATTAGCGTGATTATTTTAAAATGCTATTGTTTCAACCTTGCTAATAGAATATTTGGACCAATCCCTATACTGACTTCACAACCAGTAGAATCCCGAATTTCCTTTCTAATCTTTAACGCCAGTGCCTCCTCCTCGCCCTGATAAGGTGTGTTGATATGTGAGCTAACATCTATCAAGGCTTCATCTACGCTAACTACTTCGATTTCATCGGCATAATGAAAAAGAATCTGAAAAATAGGAGATTAATCTCTACAACCCCACCTTCTCTTTTCATGTACCTTGTAGAATGTTTCTGATACTGATTTGTATTTCTCAAATTCGTACCTATACAGACATTATAAAAACTTGAAAACATACACATCGTAAAACTTACGGAATGACATGTATATCTGGACAGAGTGACTTTGCTGTCTTGACACTATATGAAATAAAGAGTCAACATGAGCAATCGTGTTAATCTTGTCACTGTACATCATTCCATTATGAACACCAAAAGAACGGGCGACGTAGTTGCATGAGGCTTTAAAAACGTTTAGTACCTAACCTTCTTCTTTTTTTTTTTAGCTTACCTATATCACTAGAAGAAACGTCACTAACGCCTTTACTATGAGTTACAGCTACCTATAAGAGGGCCCCCAGAAACATGAGTTACGCGCAAGTACATAAACATACAAACTTAAACTTACCGGCTTGTCTTTCAAGTGAGGACGATCCTTGATTCCAACCGAAGCAAAAAAACAATCAAAGTCCACGTGCCTTAAAAAAGTAGATGAGTTACCCAAATATGCAGGCTAGATCCGATATCGTTTTACATAATGATACGAAAGGGTTTCTTCTGTCTCTTTCTATCCCCCTTATTGGCCATACTCCCTATCATATCCTTTAATTCTGCTTTCCAGGTTGATAAATGATGAAGCCTAGATGTCTCGTAGTATCGTTGAATAAAACCAGTGTTTGTAGTAGACGTCTGTTTTGTCCAGTCACTTGGCAGCTCTGCTTGATTATTTGATTTGGATGCAAGTCTATAATTTTGCCACGGCAACAGTTGCCTAGCGTTTATAGAATCTGTAATCCAATTAGGTTTTACAACTTTGTACGCTCTAAGGAGAGAGAAAAAGTTAAAATGAAAAATGCCTTAAAAGGAAAAAATGACATTGTGCGCAGCTATACCGAAATTCTTGCATCTTTGCATTTGTTAAATTGCTTGCAATTATGTGTGTTACATGAAGCTTTTTTACTGTAGTAAGACTGTTAAAGAAAGCAATCAAGCAAGAATCTGATACATACAATAATGCTGGTAATCACCGCCATGCTGTAATATCAGCCTTCTTAATTCTGTTGCAGATGGTTGTGTGTATCCATTGATGTGAATGGAAAGACCTTTGAATATCTGTGGCAGTTCCTGGCTCGATCTGTTTCCTCTTTTTATATTTTTAGAGTGTCAAAAGGACAAAAAAGGAAATATATAAAGATGGCTTACACTTCTTTTTCTTGCTCCTTTAGCTTTGCTTCCTTATTTTGCATGTACTTTTTAAATTCGCCAAACTTGATGGCTCCATAAGGATCATTGTTTTTATTCATAGACCCAGACAAGAAGATGGAGAAAAAGAAAGAAAAAGGGCGCAATGATTAACTCAGTCAATAGTTTTTATTTGTAAATTTTTAACCACCCAATTGGACAAGACTAATTATGCAAGTATCTCTGGGATCAAGGGTAAACATGTTGAAACTTGAAGAAAGGAGGGCAATGATCTCAAAAAGGCTATTGATAAAGCAAAAAGTAGAGCATATGGAGATTGTTCAGGGTATTTGTCGGGATCAATAGAACTCCAGCGAAGAAACGAGGCTACGACACGCTTGACAGGGCCATTGAGGTGATCGAGAGCACGAATGATACGAAAGGTAAGCAGCTCACACACGTGGCGCATGTCCTGTCCGCTTTGTCCCAGTCGTTGTAGTCGGGATCGCAAAAGGTTTGAGGGATCTAAAGGATCGTCCTGAATGGAAATCTCACATTTATTGACCATTCATATGCTTCGATGTATCTCTAACACTTTTGTAATATCTTCTTATCTATTTATTCTTGATTTGGCCAACAGGACGTTTATTGAAATTTATTTCTACTGCTTACTGGGGATATTTTGACTTAGTTCTGTAACTGTAATTTTTTCTTTGCATAATCCTCTCCAACACTGTTCAAACCAGTTACACTCACAATGGAACCTGGGATAAAGCTCTATTAAATTCCCAGAGCTTAAGACCGTTTCTTTTAACGCAGTTTTCTGGTTCTTAAAGTCTTCTTTATCATTGGCACGAAAAAAAAAAGATGGGATGAAAGAAAGGTCAAACAAAAGTGGGTCGGGGCTTTATTCAAAGTGGGTGATGGCAAAGTTTCCTTCTTTCCTTTTTTAGAAAGAAGTGTAAAACATCCTTTCTAAAACACTATTTTTTCTCTCCCTTTTCTCTCTTTTCTTTTCTTTTTTATTTGAGAAAACAAGAATGATACTAGACTCTAGGTCACCTCCTTCACCACCACCGGAAGACGATCCACAAGCGGGCTGTAAGCTAATGGATACGTTTGGCATAATCGTACAACTGTGCTTAGCTGCAGCTGCCTTTTCAACCTTGATTTATAAACGACAAAGAGAAAAGCCCAGACGACCTTTAAGAATATGGTAGATTCATAGAGCATCTCGTTTGGGAAAAAACTAATAGGTGTATAGGGGATTTGACGTTAGCAAACAGTTAGTGGGCGGAATCATTGTTCATTCGCTCAATGTTGTAGCAGCTGTCTTTTTTGGCATTAATCCCGAGGAAGGTGTCAAGGCAAATCCATGTGTTTGGTAATAGTGAACAATTCATTCTGGGGATTGCATTACTTAACTTTTCTTTAGGTACTTTCTCAACATACTAGTCGATACAACACTTGGCGTCGGGATACTGTGGCTCATATTGACAGGATTTAAACATGCGATTGCCAAGTTAGGATGGGTGGGATTTCAGAGTGGCATTTACGGTGATCCACCTTTCACCCAACAGCTTAAGCATTGGTTAAAACAGCTGGCTGTCTACATCATTAGCTTGATGCTTATGAAAGTTATTGTCGTCGTCCTATTTCACCTATGTCCATGGATAGCTGATTTTGGAGAGTGGGTTTTAGAATGGACCTTGGGCAATTATAGGCTACAGGTTGTATTCGTGATGCTCATGTAAGTTGTTGTATATATTCTGAAAAAAAAGAACTGATGCTCATATCTAATTCATTAGCTTCCCTCTCATCATGAATATTCTGCAGTTTTGGGTCATTGATACCATTGTGAAGCACAAATCTGACAAGGACAGTTCTACAACCATTCGACTACAAGCAGATGAAGAAGATGCACAGAGGTTACTGAGGCATGATGAAAGTGAAGAAGAATCCTTGTCGAGAAGCACCATACAGGAACCACCGCCAAAGTACAGCATGGATGACAGCGGCTCATTTTTAAGTGTTCATGATTTCCAGCAAGCATCATCGTCCTCACCCATTCATGGAAACGAATATGAGCTTGAATCAAAGCATTGATATACCCATCTGTTCATCATATATAACATGTCATGTTTTGTAAATTTATGCATCATAGAAAAAAAAATTGTTTATTTTTCTTACAAAAATACATTACAAAAAGGAGGGGACATATTCTACATGTTTTATTATAAACCTTTCAACAGAGCATCTGCTTGTAAGCGTGCATCTTTGTATTGCTGCCATAAAGGCACATCATCGTCTTTGTTGTTATTTGCGCTTAATACAGGCGATGCACGTCTGCTCACCTCATTCACACCTTGTCCACTTTGACCCTCGAGATAGGTCAGCACGAGTGTATTTAATAACTGTTCTTGTTCTTCAGTTAGATGAACTCCCTCTTGTTCGCCAAAGCTTAACCATAGTTCACGTAATGATCCATATGTACTATCGGTTGCTATTGCTTCTGGCTCTATTATGACAAGCGCTTGTCGAGCTAATTGGAGAGCATCGTCCAATCCTCTGCTTCTATACGACACATTAGAGGCTTTTGCATAGGCAGCTTTATTGAGAATCTATAAACAAGTTAAACAAAGTCATTAAATAACATCTTTTT